TGCTGGAGGAACGTTTTGAGAGTGCCTTGGACCGCAAGAAGATCAAACCAGTCCATACTCCAGGAAATAAAGCCTGGCTGCTCATTGGAGGGAAGACTATTAAAGACAAAGATGAAGTACTTTGGCCACATAATGAAAAGACATAATACCTTGGAGAGGTACCCAGCTTTTCTCCACGGAAAACTTTAGTAAAAGGTGAAAGATTTATACAGCCTGAAAAGACACAAGTCTTGGGGCTTAGGACTCTTAAGATCTTCTGGGGAGGCCCTGCTCTTGGTCCCACCTTCTTTGCAGATGTGTTCGGCAGAGACAATTATTATTATTATTACTGGCATTTGTACCCCATCTCTTCTCAACCCCTGAAGGGGGACTCAGGACGGCTTACATTAATAATGGTGCAAGACTGCTGCATCACAATTACAATAATATAACACAATCAAATACAAAACATTAAAACAAATACATATAACATTAATTAAAACAATAAAACAAAGTCACAACATCAATGACATAAGGCAGCCTTCTCAGTGGTGGCCCCTCGGCTGTGGAACGCTCTTCCCGTGGATATAAGACCAGCCCCCTCCCTCCTGACTTTTAGTAAAAAGATTAAAACCTGGCTCTTCCAGGAAGCTTTTGCTAATGCAGCATAATTAGGTAAAATGAAATTCCAAACAACTTGACGATGCTATTGAATAATGATTCTAGTGAGGAGATGCTGATGACTATGTTTTTATGACTCTGTATGGTTTTATATTTTATGCTAAATGTTTTAATTAAATTTTATATTTGTTTTTCCTGTATTTTTATAATGGTTGAGGCATCGAATTTTTGCCATCTGTGAACCGCCTTGAGATGTCTACGGGCTGAGAAAGGTGGTATATAAATATGGCAAATAAATATATAAAATCAAATAAAATTGGTTGGATCTTTAAAATCTTCTGAAGGTTTTCAGTACCTACTGCCAAGAGGAGTATTTGTCAATAAATTACTCCAAGATGAAGGTTATGGTTTTTGGTCTTTAGAGTCTTAGACCAACATGCCATAGAACAAACCCATCTAGTCCAGCTTATTTTTTCCTTTCAGGAGTGACGTGTGAAACTGTAAGTAGCTCCTGGTGTGAGAGAATTGGCCATCTGCAAGGACATTGCCCAGGGGACACCCGAATGTTTTTACCATCCTTATGGAAGGCTTCTCTCATGTCCCCACATGGGGAGCTGGAGGTGAGAGAGGGAGCTCATTTGAGCTCTCTCTGGATTTGAACCTCTGACCTTTCAGTTTTCAGTCCTGATGGCACAAGGGTTTAACCCATTGCACCACTGGAGGCTCTAATCCAGCCTGTTAATATCCTTTTTGAATTGCAGTGCCCAGAATTGGACACAGTATTCTAGGTGAGGCCTGACCAAAGCAGAATAGAGTGAGATAATCACTTCCCTCGATGTAGACACTGTACTCCTATTGATGCCACCTAAAGTCGTTTTGGCTTTTTTAGCTGCCACATCATATTATTGACTCGTGTTCAACTTGTGATCTACTAAGACTCCTCAATGTCCAATCTCGATAAAATAGTGAAGAGTAGAGATATCACATTGGCAACAAAGATCTGCATAGTTAAAGCAATGGTATTCCCCATAGTCACCTACGGATGTGAGAGCTGGACCATAGGGAAGGCTGCGTGAAGGAAGATAGATGCTTTTGAACTGTGGTGTTGGAGGAAAGTTCTGAGAGTGCCTTGGACTGTGAGAAGATCAAACCAGTCCATACTCCAGGAAATAAAGCTCAACTGCTCGTTGGAGGGAAGGATATTAGAGGCAAAGATGAAGTACTTTGGCCACATAATGAGAAGAGAGGAAAGCTTGGAGAAGGCCATGATGCTGGGGAAAATGGAAGGAAAAGGGAAGAGGGGCCGACCAAGGGTAAGATGGATGGATGACATCCATGAAGTGACTGGATTGACCTTGAAGGAGCTGGGGTTGTGACGGCCAACAGAGAGCTCTGGCATGGGCTGGTCCATGAGGTCACCAAGAGTTGGAAACAACTGAACGAATGAACAACAACAAGACTCCTTTCACATGCACTGTTTTCAAGCAAGGTATAAATTCTGACCTTTCACACCAAAAGTCCTCCTATCTGAATACAGTTGTTTTGCTGTTTACACATAAAATGCCATGATTCATGCTCTCTGATTCACAGTGGCTGACCTCAAAAAGCACCTCTCCTCATGGCAGAACACAGTGCCGTCGTCTGTGTTCGGGGCTTCTTCCGAAGCTGAGCCGCCACTCCCATCCATCTCTTGGTGCAGCTGTGAACAATGTGAGAACGTTCTGTTGGCAAGGAGGGAACAGATGGCCCTAAAAGCCTTACTGCTTATGAGCCTTCCTTATTGGGGAAGGAAAGAGGTGAACAATAGTGTACAGAGCTGAGCATGTGCCACCCAACAGTGCGCAGAGCCATTGTTGGAGCCAAAGTGGAAAATCCGAATTCCACGCTTCGGAATGGCCCTAAAGGAGCCTTGCTTCTCCAAACCTGCAAAAGAGCAGCTCCCCATGTTGCACATTGAAACCAAGTAAAGGCAATGCATATAGAAATCTAATTATTGGCAGGCACCGAGTAAGCGTTTAGCATGATAATCACAGGGCCCCCGGTGCTTTCTTGTGCAGGGACCCCTGAAAGGTGATCCTGAAAGCAAAAGTTAAAGCCATTGAATTTCCATCCATCATGTAATGTTGGCTTTGGTTGAGCTGACAAGATTTGGTTTTGTTGGCTCTTAAAGTGCAGTGAGAAACTCTTATTAATCACTTTAAGGATTTTTTTGTAATTTTAAGACAAAAAGGAGGTTGTCTCCTCATTAGCCATCAACCAGAGCCAGAATAGTGGCGAAAAATAGTTTCAGTGGAGCAGAAGGGGCTTCCAATGAAGGACACCCTGCGGGATGGCTTCGCTACTGGTCAACGTAGCAATGTAGATTTCACACATTGCAGGGATAATTTCAAGGCTTGGGTGACTTAGTGGACTACAGACAAATTCTGTTTGTCTAAGGTCTGCTAGACAAACCTTGGGACTCAAGGTCTCCTTGAGTCTCAAGGAAGGGGAATATGACTTAATGGCAACTGAATCCCATCCCATTGTTTACGCTATGCAAAACCACACAGTGAAAGTGCTCCACCCTTTTGCTTCCAGGAATCTCTATCCATTCTCCATAAATTTATTTTGCTATTGTTTCTAATGATTAATCAAGGACTTCATCACATTGAAGCAGGGAAGTGTTTGGTAGGGTAGTGCTTAGTCTCAGTTTTGAAATGAAATGGATGATTTCCCTACCTTCATCGCACTGCTAAATGTATCCGTGTTATTCAGTTGTACTCAGGATTTTTTCAGCCGTTATTTGTCTTCAATTCCGGAAGCAAGGAAGCACGGAGGGAGAGAGGGAAAACGGCGATGTTCTCTCTCTCTCTCTCTCTCTCGATTGCCCCACAGAAAAGGGTATGGACCTTGGGAATCTATAACTCCCAGGACTGCATAGTATGGAGCTATAGTATTTAAAGTAAGGTCCAGTTGCTTTCATTTCATAATGTAAATACACCCAGAGAAGTTTCAAGGACCTTGAGAAACTGCAATTCCCAAGACCATCTCATGGAGAAATTGCATTTTAAGTAAGGTCCACATGCCAGTAAGGTAATGCTCAGGATCCTGCAAGGAAGACTCCAGCAATACATGGAAAGAGAGTTGCCAGATGTACAAGCTAGGTTTAGAAAAGGCAGAGGAACAAGAGACCAAATTGCCAATATCCGCTGAATAATGGAGAAAGGCAGGGAGTTTCAGAAAAACTATTTCTGTTTTATTGACTATTCTAAAGCCTTTGACTATGTGGATCATAATAAATTGTGGCAAGTTCTTGGTGGTCTGGGCATACCAAATCACCTTGTCTCTCTCCTGAGGAATCTGTATAAGGACTAAGTAGCAACAGTCAGAACTAACCATGGAACAACAGACTGGTTCAAGATCGGGAAAGGCGTACGGCACCCAACCTATTCAACTTGTATGCAGAACACATCATGCGACATGCAGGGCTTGAGGAATGCAAAGCTGGGGTGAAAATTTCTAGAAGAAACATTAACAACCTTAGATATGCAGATGATGCCACTTTGATGGCTGAAAGCGAGGAGGAACTGAGGAGCCTTCTAATCAAGGTGAAAGAAGAAAGCACAAAAGCTGGGTTGCAGTTAAACATTTAAAAAAAACAAGATTGACAACTGGGAAATAGAGGGAGAAAATGTGGAGGCAGTGACAGACTTTGTATTTCTAGGTGCAAAGATTACTGCAGACGCAGACTTCAGCCAGGAAATCAGGAGACGCTTACTTCTTGGGAGGAGAGCAATGACCAATCTTGATAAAATAGTGAAGAGTAGAGACATCACACTGGCAACAAAGATCCACATAGTCAAAGCCATGATATTCCCCATAGTCACCTACAGATGTGAGAGGTGGACCTTAGGGAAGGCTGAGTGAAGCAAGATACTTTTGAACTGTGGTGTTGGAGGAAAGTTCTGAGAGTGCCTTGGACTGCGAGAAGATCCAACCAGTCCATTCTTCAGGAAAGAAAGCCTGACTGCTTATTGGAGGGAAGAATAGTAGAGGTCAAGATGAAGTACTTTGGCCACATCATGAGAAGAAAGGAAAGCTTAGAGAAGAGTATGATGCTGGGGGAAATGGAAGGAAAAAGGAAGAAGGGCCGACGATGGATGGAGGGTATCCTTGAAGTGACTGGATTGACCTTGAAGGAGCTGGGGGTGGTGACGGCCGACAGAGAGCTCTGGCATGGGATGGTTCATGAGGTCACAAAGAGTCGGAAACAACTGAACGAAAGAACAGCAACAGCAACACCTTTTGCAAACACCCTGTAGAGCAGGTATTGTTAGGAATTGTGGGAGCTGAAGTCCAAAACACCTGGAGGGCCGAAGTTTGCCCATGCCTGCTGTATAGGACAATGGTTAGAGGAGCAACCCAGGCTGGAAGCCGACACGCCAGCCATTCCCATGCAGAAAGGGCCCCAGTGCTTGGTTGGCGTGGAACAAAGGCGGGTTTGGGGTTGTGATGGTGGGCATCAGGCCAGCGAATCCATGTGCGCGGGTTTGGAAAGCAGGGGGAGGCCTCTGTCAACTCAAGGGCAGCTTTAAAAGGGCGTGGAGGGGGAAGGGTTGGGGATGGAGGCCCCCTCCTCTCTTTGCCAAGGAGAAGCAGCGCCACTTCAGGCCTGCCTCGGAGGGGAGAGGCGGCCAACCAAGTGCCTGGATGTCCCCAGGGCGGGAAAGTGGGCAGCAGCGGGCCTGGCGCCTGCTCCTCCTCGTCCTCCTCCTCCTGCTGCTGAATCTGCTCTGGCCCGGCGCCGCTGACGACTGCAGCTGGAAAGGAAGGTGAGAAGGAGCCTTCCTGAACCCCCTCCCTGTAAGAAAGGCGGGCGTGCTTTGAATTGGGAGTGCTGGCAAAGGGAGAGACCACTGCTCATCATCGAGTCTCCTCATCACACTAGGGAATCAATCCACTTTCAATCCGGTTTCTGCCTCCTGCAGAATTTTGGGGTTTGTAGTTTAGGGAGGGGGAGCCCCCGAACGGCGCTCCATGCAGTCATGCCAGCCACATGACCTTGGAGGTGTCTACGGACAACGCTGGCTCTTCGGCTTAGAAGTGGAGATGAGCACCACGCCCCAGAGTCAGACATGACTGGACTTAACGTCAGGGGACTACCTTTACCTTTACCTTTAGTTTAGGGAGGAGCCTTTAGCAGCCTCACTAAACTACAAACCCCAGAATTCTGCAGGAAGCAAAAACCGGATTTAGAGTGGATTCATTCTCTAGTGTGATGAAGTAACAAGTTCTCCTACCATCGGATTTACATGAGGAATCTCCTCTTCGGGGTCTTTTATTTTCATATCAGGAGCGACTTCAGAAACTGGTGTGAGAGAATTGGCCGTCTGCAAGGACGTTGCCCAGGGGACGCCCAGATGTTTTGATGTTTTTACCATCCTTGTGGGAGGCTTCTCTCATGTCCTTGCATGGGGAGCTGGAACTGACAGAGGGAGCTCATCCCCGTTCTCCACAGATTCGAACCTCCAACATGTCGGTTTTCAGTCCTGCCCCACAAGGGTTTAACCATTTTGCTCCTTCAGGGTGAAAAGGCAGGTCTGCAGCTTGGATGTGCATCTCGGGCCCCATCTGCACTGCCATGTCATCCAGTTTCTGAATCCACATTATCTGCTCTTAACTGGATGATAGGGCAGTGCAGATGGGGCCTGAGATGCACATCAAGTCTGCATGATCCAGACTGGGACCCCTTCAACACAGCCACATAAATCCAAATTATCTGGTTCGAGCTGGAGTATATTGTAGAGTAGACTAATATATTTCACATTGTATTTAATTAAATGTATTTATTTGTTTGTCCTCTATATGAAAGACCTGTGGTCCAAGCAGTAAATAAACTTACTTCATCATATAATCCAGTTCAAAGCAGATAATGTGGATTCAATTCTGGGCACTGCAATTGAACGAAGATGTCAACCTTAAGCTGGAATGTGTTCAGAGGAGGGTGACTAAAATGATCAAGGGTCTGGAAAACAAGCCCTATGAGGAGCAACTTAAAGAGCTGGGCATGTTGAGGATGAGAGGAGAAGTGATCATGGCCATGTGTAAATATGTGAGGTGAAGTCATAGGGAGAAGGGAGCAGGCTTGTTTTCTGCTGCCCTGGAGACTAGGACACAATGGAATAATGGATTCAAACTACAGGAAAGGAGGTTCCACCTGAACATGAGGAAGAGTTTCCTAACTGTAAGGAGAGCTGTTTAGCAGTGGAACTCTCTGTCCCAGAGTGTGGTAGAGGCTCCTTCTTTGGAGGCTTTTAAACAGAGGCTGGATTGCCATCTGTTGGGGGTGCTTTGAATGCTATTCTCCTGCTTTTTGGTAGAGGGTTGGACTGGATGGCTCATGAAACCTCTTCCAGTGCTATGATTCTACGATAATCTGGATTATATGACAGTGTAGAAGGGACCTGGGTTCAATTCAGAGCCTGAAAGCTCAAGTTTTAGTAGTGGCTGGCCAGGATTGCAGTTTGCAAGTTATTACACTATGTAACAAGACTTTCGTTCCTGGGTTATAAATGTCATTTCCTAATTGGCTCTATCATGTAAAAAAAATAGGGGAAAGTTTATTAAACTGCACAATTTTTCATTTTTGCGGGACATCCTGCAGCACATTTTGCTATAGTTTTTCAATGAATGTCTCATAAGATTCTCAACCAATTCAACCTAGTTTGTGGCAGCCACAAAAACGCAGTTTTTGGACTATAACAAGTACTTTCAAAGTCAGTACCACACAATGAAACAGGAAATAGAACTTTCAAACCAGGAACAGAACATTTTTCCAATTTTGTTACATGGCGTTACCTGCTTTGAACTGGATGGTATGGCAGTGTAGATCCAGACTTGGTTTGTTCAGCTCCGAGCCTAGAAGCTCAAGTTTTAGCAGAGGCCAAGAGTAGTAGTAGTAGTTGCTGTCGTTGTTGTCATTGTTACACAGCTCAACCAAAAACCATTTTTTCTTTGTGTCCTAGTTTCTAGGCTTATTCCTGGTTATTTGGGGGATTCAGAAAATTGCACTGGATAAACCACAACAGCTTTAGTTTCTTTGGCTGGATTTATGTTGCCCTATATCCCAGGGTCTGATCCCAGATTATCTTCTTTGAACTGGATTATATAAATCTACACTACCAGATAATCTGAGGTAACCAGATAATCTGGGATAAGAAGATAATCTGGAATCAGATTCTGGGATAGACCCAGCCTTAGAGATGTATATCATGATATTCTATGGGCAAGAAGATGAAGACTGGTATACAGCACATGCTCTGTATCTCAAAACCTATAGTTGATAGGAACCTGGTGCCATTTTTAGACTCAGCAGGTCAAATATACCCAGAAATAGGGCTAACACTTGAGGCACCAAAATGAGTATCGGCCAGATGTTTTGCAATAATTAAATATTTGTTAAGCCTACACAAAGAAATATAAAATGTCATTCAGCTTAAAACATATCAATTATATATCTGAATGCAAAAAAATTCATGTAAAAAGATGGAAACTTCCACATTTTCATCTAAACAACAGGCTGAATGCATTTGTTGGCTAAATAAAAGTGACCACTTTGAAGTCTGTACTCTGTGTAGTGGGTCATATCATTAACAATTTTAATTTGCACCCATTAGATGCACATTTAATGTTCTTTCAAGTCAAAGACTTGCCTGTAGTTTCTTCTCTCCTTTAACTCAAAGACTGACTTTATAATTGGGGCAATCCATTAATTCCAAAGATTTATGGCGGCCGTGTCAGTGGGGCTTTGAATCCACTTTGGGATTTAGTCTATATTTTGAAGGAACTATCATTATTTGTAGGAGCAAGAAGAAATAAGGTGTAGGGGGAGAGAGACCCTGCAAATGCTTGGCGGACAGTCTTTATTGCTTGCTATTAATTTGGAAAAAGCAATGCACATATTGGCTTATGTGTATATTTTGACTGTCTTCTTTAGGGGTTACATCAAAACAAGCAGAAATGTAATTGTAACATAATATCTACATATTGGTATCTATAGGCTTTAAGTTGTATACAGGAAAAAACATGATATTTCGTTGGGCTTTTTCTAAATAAAATACAAGAAATAAAGCATGTAGAAATATATCTCCTCCTTTTTACTTTTCTCTTGGGTTCTCTCCAGTATCTGTTTCTTCTTATTTATATAAGGGCAACCTTATTTTGTGAATATCATCCAGCATCTGAAATAGTTTCTTTGAAGATTGGGTTAAAACTTAGGTCAGATTCACCACCTCACTGACTTGAGAGCCATGTGCCGGCAGGACTGCTAACCAACAGGTCAGAAGTTCGAATCTTGGGAGAGCGGGTTGAGCTCCCTCTGTCAGCTCCAGCTCCCCATGTGGGAACAGACATGAGAGAAGCCTCCCATTAGGATGGTAAAACATAAAAAAAATTCTAGGCATTCCCTGGGCAATGTCTTTGCAGACGGTCAATTCTCTCACACCAGAAATGATGTGCAGTTTCTCAAGTTGCTCCTGACACACACACACACACACACACACACACAAAACCTGACTCGGGAGCCACCAGCAATTGCTAGACACAGCCATTCTTCATAATAATTCAGACTAATTTCATGCTTGCTGTGAGATCTGATTAAGGCTCTGTAGGCCTGAATAGACCCTTGGCTCTAAATCTGGTAAAAACCTTGAACAATAGATTCAGTCCTGGTTCAAAGTTTGACTCCACACATGCATCCTTACATGTGAAGTGCGGCTCAGGATGAACCTTAGACCTTTAACTGCTTGAGGAAACATGGTGACTCTCCCAAAAGTCAGTTGGGCATCTCGTTGCTTCTTTCTTCACCATTGGACCTACTGGGTTGCTGTGAGTTTTCTGGGCTGTTTGGCCATGTCCCAGAAGCATTCTCTCCTGATGTTTCGCCCACATCTATGGCAGGCATCCTCAGAGATTGAGGGAAGCACCTGATGAACCAACCTAGACTCAGCATATTATTTGGGAACACAGAAATGCTGGACCACTCTAACAACCACCATGTCAGACTACACAGAGAAGCCATTGAAATGCGCAAGCATTTGGACAATTTCAACAAAAAGGGGAAAACCATGAAAATGAACAAAATCTGGATACCAGTATTTAAAACTTTAAAATCAGAACAGTAAATAAAAAACAACACTCAAAAACAGGGGAATTCCAGACAAGAATCCATCAGGGCCAGCTAACACCTCCCAACAAAGGATTCCCCCAGGCAGCAACCAGCCAGGCTTTGAAGCTGCAAGTCCATTCAATGCTAATCAAGGTGGCCAATTGCAACATACACACTTGCCTCAAGCAGACCAGAGTCTTTCTACCACCATGGGCATTCCACAGATATATATAAACCTCCCTTGCCTAGTTTCCAACAGGCCCTCAACCTCTGAGGATGCCTGCCATAGAAGTGGATGAAATGTCAGGAGAGAATGCTTCTGGAACATGGCCATACAGCCCAGAAAACTCACAGCAACCCAGTGATTCCAGCCATGAAAGCCTTCAACAACAAATTGGAGAAACTGCGGTTAGAGATTCAGGCTCTCTCTGACAACCATAGTGGGAGCAGATTTGAAATGTCCTTGGGCCTGCCTTTCTGTACTCCTTTCTTCTCCCTTCATGTCCCACTTCTCATGGTTGTTGGCCCATTGCCTTCTAGTGGCTTGAGGTGGGAGCCCCATTCCCGTGCTGTGGAGCAGGTCCACCTCCGCTGCACTGAGGGCTTCCTGGAATGGATGTATCCGGCAAGAGCCCTTCGCGTCATCCTGGAGCCCAACCTCTCCAGCGCTCAGCACACCACCATATGCATCAAGCCATCCAACAACTTTCAAGGAGCCAACATTTATGTGGAGCGGGAAGGACAGCTGCATTTGTTGGTGGCTGACAATGAGGCACCCCACCTGCACCACGTGTCCTGCTTCAGCAGCCCTGCCCCTCAGCGGGTGGCCCTTTTCCTCCAGGCCAGTCCTCAGAGGGACATCAGCCGCAAGACTGCCAGTTTCCAGTATGAATTGCTGAGCAACCAGAGTGCCACAGGCCCAGACCTCCAGAAAATGCCCCTTATAGAAGGTAAGGCCAGGGCACAGGAAGCGCCACATTATTTCTTTCTCTAATGTTGAGTGTCTTAATATGTCAGTACCTTGATATTGTATAATCCTGGGTCTTCAAAGCAGTTTACCATGAACAAAGATATGTGTCGTTGTAAGTTTTTTGGACTGTATGGCCATGTTCCAGAAGGAGTATCTCCTGAAGTTTCACCTTCATCTATGGCAAGCATAGTAACAGCTAAAACCACCTTAAAAGCAACTGTTGAACCACTTAAAAACTACAGTGTAAAAGCATGTGCATACATGGCTTTGAAATAAATTAGTCCCTGGAGTATTTAATAAAGAGACATGCTTTAGCTTTGCATCAGAAAGAAACTAACATTGATACCAATCCTCCAAATGGAAGAGCATTTCAAAAATTAGGATGCCACAAGCAAGAAATTTCTCTTCTGTGTTGTCCCACATTGTATTGCTCCCAGTGGAAGACCTAGAGAAATGACCATCCTTCACTTTTTTCTTGTTGTTGTTTGTCTTCAAGTTGTTTCACCTCATGAGTGTTTTCTAGGGCTGAGAGTATATGCCTTGCTCAAGGTTACCCAATGGTTTTCCATCACTGAGTTGGGAATCAAACCCTGGCCTCCAGACACATAGTCCAATGCCCAAACCATCACACCTTGCTGGCCCTCTCAGATTCAATCACACTGAAAGCCCTTCTGTCATTTAGTCAAAGATGGAAGTGAGCATGTACTGTGGACCCATTGATAGCTTCCAAAGGACATAGAGTAAGTCAAATCTTCTACTCAGAAAAGAGAGAAGGAGAGAAATCCCTTTTGATAAACCTTTTCCCTGTGCCATAGCAATAGTTCTGGACCTTTTTACTCCTGTGCAGAACTGCCATCTGCGTTCACTGCCTTCGTCTCAGATCAGTCAACGCACTTGACTGTGTTGATCAGATTCAGAGGTGCAGTCAATAAAGAGTCCTCTGTTCAGAACGAGGGATAAGAACTGGGAATGTGTTGTCTTGCCAATAAGGTTGGTCTTCATTCCCCATTATCTCTCACTTTGGCTGTGATAGCTAGTTTAATCAACATTGCAGTCCTCCGGCATCTAATACAGGTCCGCACAACCTGCGTTCCTCCAGGTGTTTGGGCCTCCAACTCCCAGAAGCCCTAGTTAACTTCTCCAATCATCAGGAATTCTGGGAGCTGAAGTCAAAAACTCTAGAAGAGACACAGGTTGTGCAGGCCTGAAGGTTCACGGTTGCCCAACTCAATTTGCAAGGTTCTCCGTGTCTGGGTTGTTTAAAATACTCAGGAATTTGCTAAAGGCTGCAAACACTGCATGCTGGAGGAAATTACACCTGACTATCAAGTTATTGACAGCAAATTCTGTGGACATGCAGTGACCTGTCTAGGTCTACATTGGGAGTCAATGAAATAAGAACAAAGAAACATTTTGTATATTGAGGATGTTACAGAAATATAACTCCTGGTACATAGTTCCTTGAGTTCTGCTCAAAGATACTTCTGTGCTTTATCCAGAGGCTGTTGACTTTTCCCAATCATGAAGGCCCCTAATTGAACTAGGCTGTCTAGTGTTGACCTATTCAAGAGTCCACTTGACCACTCAAGAGGTTTTAATCTTCTCTTTGATATCTTTGTTGTCCAGCCATGTGCCGCCCGTGTGACAACATGGAGCTCCTAATGGCCATTTGCAGCAGTGATTTTGGTGAGTAAGCCATTTACAAATTACTCAGTATACTCAGAGCCAGTTCTACCAATAAGCAAAGTGAAGAAGATGGTTTGAGCAACACAGCTATTTACTTTATTATTTTATATTGTTTACTTTATTATCTTATTTATTATTTTATATTGTTATCCCCAGACAGGGGGATTGGCATTTGTGGGAGTTTCTGCCTTCTGTGCCAAAACAACTTGCCTGGCTTTGGGTGCTATGCACTCAGCCATGAGGAGGCACCAGATGTTTCTCTAACACAGGCAGCAGTATTTCATGGGATGGCCATGGCTATAGTAACGGTATAGTCTCAATTTACCAGAAGATCGCAGAAACATTGAGAATATCCATCATTTTTATATCCTCAATGAAAAGTGGTGTGGCTGCACTTTGGGGAACTCCTTGAAGAAAGAGAATAGTGGTGAGATTCTTCAGACTTCACAATTTCTCCTGGTATAATTATTTTGCCCATAACACTATGTAACAAAATTTGAAAAATGTTCTGTTCCTGGTTTGAAAGTGTTATTTCCTGTTTAATTGTGTTGTACTTACTTTGAAAGTAGTTGTTATACTCCAGAAACTTTATGTGGCTGCTACAAATGGTTAAATTGGTTGTGACTCAATGAGATATTAACTGAAATACTATAGCAAAATGTGCTGTAGGTTGTCCCGCAAAAACAAAGTTTTTGCAGTTTAATAAATTTTTCCATGATGATAGAACCAATTAGGAAATGACATTTATAACCCAGGAACAAATTTTTCTGCATAAGAGATATTTTATTTATATAAATTATCCAGGTTTATGTACATATTTTAATTTATTTATTTGACCAGTCATATAACTGTTTCAAAATACAACACAAGTAAAAGACAAGGCGAAAAGGAGAGGACAGCAGCTGAACTTCTGTTTACAGTCAGAATCTTATTTTCCTGGTTCTTCTTTCAGGATAGTTTATGTACAAAAAAAAAACCCCACATGTTATTTCTGTGTACGTTTTTCCCAAGTTATCCTGAATGGTGAATATTGCTTGAAAATTGCGCCAAAACTCTTGTAACCTTGCCTAGCAGAAATAATGTGGCTGACATTACTCACTTTCACATGCACAGTGCAAGTAAGATGATTCACACTCCTAGCAGATGGACAAATAAAATCAAGGGCTCTACAGCAGTTAGCTTTTCTGTCGGAGTTAATTTCTGCCTGTTTCCAGTCTTTCTTTTCAGAAGTGATCGGCTTCCCTGTATTCACTTGATGAAGTTACTGGGTCTCAAGCAAGGCACACTCCTTGCTAGGCCCTCACATACTAGTGCACCCGCACGCACACATACACACAAGCAGGCGACTGACAGATGTGGTGCCGAAGGATGCACAATGGAGGGCATTTATACTTAAAGCACCAACAGACCAGAAGAAATAGCCCTTTGAGTGGACTCTATTTACGACTTGACATCCCTGTCCTAAGTTCACTGTTCCCTATCATCAAGAGGGGTATTTTTATGGGGGTGGCTATGAGAGAAAATAGCTCCTAATGAAAGTGTAAATGACCCTTAAAGTGAATTGAAGCTTTATGGGTTTCAGAAGAGGGAGGTCTTGAGTCACTCCATCAGAGGCTGCGCGAAAGCAATTCAGAGCAGGAGGAACAAGGGCATTACAGCTTGTCAATAGACTTGACTGCATCTGGCAGAAAATGCTCACACAAAGCCAGGTGGAGATGCAGGGAGCGGGTAGGAAAGCAGGGGACATCTGTTGTGCTAAAAGGCTAGAGTCTTCAGGAAATTGGATTAGCCAAGGAAGTCCCTGAAATCTTCCAAAAGACAGACGTTCTTTGTGCCCTTGGCATAAATGAGATAATTATCCCCAAAGGGGAAGATTTAAATTGGTGCCTTATTCTGCATACAAATTGATTATTTGATTTGTGGGGGTGCTACAAATGAACATTTGGGAGAATGGAGGATGTTTGGGAAAGGTCTTCTAGCCAAACATGTTTGTGGCAATTAGGCCTGAATAATCCCACCATGGTCTTTTTAAAAAAATGAAGGGGTGCTTGACAGGAAGCATCAAATACATGGAGTCGCTGGTGGCACAATGGATGAAACACAGTATTATCTGTTGGTCATGGGAGTTCTGTGTGGGAAGTTTGGTCCAATTCTTATCACTGGTGGAGTTCAGAATGCTCTTTAATTGTGGGTTAACTATAAATCCCAGCAACTACAACTCCCAAATGACAATATCAATCCCCTCCTACCCTACCAGTATTCAAATTTGGGCATTTCGGGGTTTTGTGCCAAATTTGGCCCAGTGAATGAAAATTCATCCTGAGTATCAGATATTTACATTACAATTCATAAGAGTAGCAAAATTACAGTTATGAAGTAGCAACAAAAATAATTTTATAGTTGGGTGTCACCACAACATGAGGAACTGTATTAAGGGGTCGCTGTATTAGGAAGGTTGAGAAATACTGGACTATAGCTCTTAGAATCCCCAAGGCACTGACCTTGCCATCTGAGGGATTGTGGGATCAGTTGTCCAAAACTGGTTGATTCAACGTGTTGTTGGGGAAATTTGGTCAAAAGCATTTGTCTATGTAGCCATATGCACCTTTTCCTGAACAATACTAGCAAAGAAGCATTTCAGCTTTCAGTTAATCATGTCCATGCAATCTCATTTGCACAGTGGTGAGAGGATCGATCCAAAATGTTATGCATGATTCAGAGAATCACATCTCTCAGGTTGATGTTGACGTACAACAAGTCTACAGGCAGAAAAACCAGATCTTCCAGCAAGATAAAGCAACTAGGGTGTGGCGAGGAACCATCAAAACCTTGCTGCAATGTAAGGTGAAGAAAGGCAGAGGGGACTTCCTCTTCACAGGCAACGAACACTTTGGTGAAGCTTGGTTGGGTTGTGCACCAAGATTTAAAGACTTTGGAGCTGTCTATCAAATGGCCAGAGAGAAAGGAGCAAATCCCTGTGAGTTTCATTTTGACAGATGAAGCAGTATCTGTCATAACCAAGAGTATTGATTTCAGATTATTATTATTTTGTATAGAAGAATGACATTGATTCAGAGATTTGGCATCTGTGTCTTCAAGTTGACTTGTAAGGGCAGGTTGGCATTGGGAAGATTTGACTTCAGGTTTCTCCTTTGTCGGAGGCTCTAATCTTGGGCATGCGAAGCTCTCCTCACCGCCGTTCCCAGTCTGTAAAAATGGGAATAGTGCAACCTACCTCACAGGGCTGTTGTGAGGACAAACACTAAGGAATGGAAAGCACTTTGCAAATTAAAATAAAAGGGCTGGAAAATATTGAATGATGATTGACTCTCCTCTAAAATTGGAAGACCGTGTTCCAGATTCCAAATCAGAAGTCCCGAATCTTCATGCAATTAAACCCCATATGGCAACAGATATGAGTTCTGTACAAAAGATACAGCACAACAGAGTCCACCAAAGCATTTAAAAGGACTGAAAAGGAGAATCATTGCAGCTGTAGTGATTAGAGAACAGAGAACAGGACTGGGATATGGAACAAGGAGGTTCAACTTCTCCCACTCAGCCCTTTTAAACTTTCCTGGTGACCTCAAAGCAATTGCTTTCTCTACACTGCCATATAAAATCCAGATTATCTGCTTTGAGCTGGATGATATGGCTATGTAGACTCAAGGCAACTTACAAATTGGCAGCAATTTGATGCCATAACAATCCATAATATACAATTAAAACATTTAAAACAGCATTATAAAATCAATACAATACAAAAGCCATGAAAAACATATAATAACCAATGTCCTACACACATTTTGCTAGAAAAACCCTATGATAGGGTTACTACATATAAAAATAACTTGACACACAACTAAATGTTTCTGTGATAATCCTTTTGAAGAAGTCTGCTGAACACACATTGACTCATAATACCAGAGTCAAATACAAAACCATGAACCAGTATACAAAAAGAGCTATTATATATGTTTCCAAAAACTGAGCACTCACTTTATATGAGAGAACCACTCCAAAACATGTCACCTATCTGTAGTCAATTGAGGCATTATACAATTACTGTGAATGAAAAATAAAAATGGATTGCATAATAGCTTTCTGATAACTCATTTATTCAGAGAGAGATTACAAGAAGAACAGTCAATATTGCCACCAAAACATAAAAAGGTTGTTTTTTTCGCTGCTTGATTATGAGTACTTAACAGTGCCAGACATAAAAACACAAATTTCATTTGCAAATCATTAGCTTAGAATAACAAAATGAGATTGTTACAACTCTGGAGAAAATTCAACAGCATGAAAGTTAGCAGACATTTTCTCATTAACTTCAGCAGAAGATAATAGGAAAGCTTTCATTCAAACACAAACCTTTTCATTAATTAAAATCGCACGGTTTAAAATAACATTGGTAATAGTCTTAGCAATGTTATCTTTTAAGTGTTGGGCACTCACACACTCCCATATATCCACATCTGTGGCTAACTGATCTTGAATCAATTTGGACCATGAATCTCGAGTGTTTCCATTTTTCTCCTAAATTATCCACTTCTTTTCAATCAGCTTTTATTATTTTAATGCTGGATCCTCCCACCCTCCCACAGCTTTTCAGCCATGCTCAAATAATTGCCTATATTTTATGTAAATGGAATTGTTACACCGTAAAATGATATACAAATGTGTCTACCACACAAAGTCCAATAGAGAGCCTGAATAAGCCCATTACTTACAACGTACCAGCATCTGATCGCAGCCTGGGAAACAGAGACCTGACAGATGTGAGTCCATGACAAGGCCTGGAGACGTGAATGCCGGGGGCTCCAATAGACCACAATTAATTGACTTTTAAAACCACTCTTTTTTCACAGTTCTACTTGGCTGAACAGGATTCACAAATTGCTTCCTTGAACTTTTAATGGGACAAAATAGCTGCCAATGAAAGTCTAAATGACACCGACTTTGAAAGGGGACCGCACAATGACCACACCGTGACATGTTTTTAAGTGACATATTATTTGAGAAATAGCAGCCACTCAATTGAAGACGGAGGAGGGGATGCAATGTGCTGGCGGGGTCTGTTGTGGAAGTCATGGAAATAGTGTGTGTACCCACATAAAAGCAGGGCTGGGAATAGTGTGGCCTTCCAGATGCAGGGATTGCAACACCTAACTGTCTAAACTGGGGCCCTTTCCACACAGCTGAGTAAAATTCCACATTATCTGCTTTGAACTGGAATATATGGCAGTGTGGACTCAAATAACCCAGTTCAAATCAACATTGTGGGTTATTCTGCCTTGATATAAGGGTTATAAGGCTGTGTAGAAGGGCCCCAACTTATCCAAGTTGCGAAATGCTGGGAGGTGCAGTATCTAGAAGGCTAAATGATTCCAGCAGTATGGCTTTTCTAGGGCCTCCAGAATTAGTAGCATAAGCTTTCACAGATGAAGACTACTTCCTCAAATGCATGGAGTGAAGTACACTTGGTCTGCAAAAGCTTATGCTACCAACTTTGCTCTTTCAGGGCTATTTCACATAGTTGTATAACTCAGAATATGAGGGTAGAATAACCCACAATATGTGCTTTGGATTGGGTTGAGTCCACTCTGCCATATATTCCAGTTCAAAGCAGATATTGTGGAATTTTATTCACTTGTGTGTAAGGGGCCTCAGTTAATCTCCAAGGTACTGTTATTTATTTTGAATGCCCATATTCCAAACACTGTGATGTCTTTGAATTCTAGTTAGAAGAGACCAAGTTATGAAACGGCCAGATAGAATTTGAGCGATAATGATACCGAAGCAGAAGCAGCAAACAAGCCAAACAGACTCCTGGTGGTTTGTCTACATCAGGTCCTAAGCACCATTCATGAGATCTGGCTCAAAGACTTTCTCATTCACAATTCTGTTGTACACTCACATTCTAGGTGTATTTCCACTGATTGACTGCCGAGTCCCACTAAATGCAATGATTTTTACATTCTTAGTACTACTGTATTTCATCAGTTATGAGATGCCATCAAATCTAAGACACGTGTTAATTTGGGTACCATCAGCAGAAAAATAGCTACCTATATATCACCAATTATAATACACACCCAATTTCTGAGATGATTATATGGGGGAACAGTGCATCTTAGAATTGATAAAATACTATATATATCATCAATATGTTCAGTTTGAGAAAAGCCCAACTGTGTTCGATTAATCCAAGTTCTTCCAAGTTAATATATTTAGGAACTAGTGCATATATGTTTCCTATTTTCAGCACATGCAGAGGCAATGTGTTTACATTATCAAAAATGTTGGAAATAGCAACCTTCTACAAGCCTCCTATACTAGTTATTTGTTATGTATATAATTCAGATTGTTTACTATATTGTATATGTATATATTGGTATGCAACTTCCTTAACTCTTATGTTGTTTGAGATTGTGGGAGGGACTGCAGACCATGTGATTATATCTGGGATTATTCAGACTGAGACTCCATTAGACTCTCAGAATGTAAAGATGTTGCGGTTGACTCTAAGAAAGACACCCCGCATTATCTGCACAGAGAAACTACTTCAAACCCATCTGTACTTGGATTCATAAGCAATGTACCTGTATACTGAATACATGAAGTTTGCAAGTAAAACAACTGTTATTTTTAACAAAGACTATTTATTTTTCCTAGAAGCATGCTATTTTATGAGAGACTAGATGTTTTTAGGCAACTGAAATAACACTTCTGAAGAGCTGCCATTTATTTTGGGTATTGGCATATCTTTGTTCCTAACAGTTCAAAGAGATAACCAGGTATATCAGTCTAATAACTGAGAAACCTAATTTGGCTTGCATGAATACAAGTGGGTATTTACCACGAAAGAGAAGATTCACTCAAATGGATTTTTAGTTCTTCTCTGGAAAATGATACTTTACAAAAGGGTTATAATTTTCCAAATGGTGTGAATGCCAATTAATCTCCAAAAGGGTTATGTTTCCAAAAGGCTATGGGGATTTCTGCTCTTCCAAAAGGCTATGATCTCTAAAAAGTCATGCCTTTCCAAAAAAAAATAATCATTCCATAATAACGATAACAATCAGAATTTATTGAACGTTCAATGAATGAGAATGGAAGCACTGCATGGCCAGGCAGCCTCAGCTACATTACATTTGTCACAATCAGAGATGGCAAAAGACAGGATTGAAACAGAGAAAAACAAACTCTTAACAACAAGAGTCTTTTTTTGTTATTTACTTCTAATCTGAATTTCTTAAAATCACCAATGGATCAATGTAATCATTCACAATCTTTGCCAGATATTCTGTAGATACAGTATACATACTTTTCAATTGCTAGACATTCTGTAGTTATACATCATTTTGAAAATCACACAGTGAAGCACCTAGGCTTTTAAATTTTCAATGTTTTATGTTGTGCTTCAGTTCAATCATCCCTATGTGCTGTAACGATTTACACCAACAGCACTGGTAACACAGAGATTGCTTTTAATCCATTCTGTATGTGGAAAAACCTGTCAAAATGTTAAATCTCCAACATCATAACAAAGTTAACTCTGTATCCATCCAAATATGGATACATCAGATAGCATTACTTTTTAAACAAGTTTCACCTAGTCAGAAAAAAAATCCCAGAAGACAGATTTGGCTCCCTTCTGATGAAACCCAATATGTTTTATCTTGTGAGTCAACTATCCTATGGCCAATTATTCCATATTGTGATGAGATAAACCGAGGTTATCTTTTCTTCGGTATAACTGTAAGAGTATAACTGGTTAGAAAGATCTATCACAACCGTAGCACAAGGACTCCAAGATGCTCGCTAAGTCACCACAGTGAACGCATCCCAGATTCAACAACCTTTGGAAAAGAGAAATCAGATCCACTGTGCTTTGGATCTTCTGAGATTTTTTTAAGCACAGACAAGTGTGCCTAAATCTCAATGATCATTTGCAGGAAGAAAGTTTCATGAGACTTCCTTTGGGGCAAAAGTGGTCTCAAGGGCAGCTCCACAAAAGAGCCAACAAGCCTTACCAAGTCACAGAGAATAACATTCCCTTCTTCATGAAGGAAAGAAATCCTTAAATCCTGTAAGAAATATCACAAGCTTCATCACAGAGGCAATAGCACCCTGCAGCTTCTGAACACCAAGGATGGGTTTGCTATATTAGTGAGGAACCTACTTGATCTACATTCTCAATAGTTCTCTCATCTCTAAATACCCCAAAAAGATCAATGCAGTAGGTCATGATTCCTGAAGATTCCTGAAAAGGTGAGCACATTTGGGTCAAACGTATTTTCTGTTCTCTATGCCCTGATCCAAGAAAGAGAAGACAGTGCTCATTCCTACTAGTGCAAAGTCCAAGGGAAATAAGTTAGTATATCCTTGGCAATGTTTCTAATGTGTTGTACCTCTGCCTTGAGAAGAAAACAACAAAGTTGTTTTCAATTATTGGAGTCAGACTGTATCACCTTCCAAAGTGGGAAAAAACATCACTTCCAAGAAGGCTAAAATAAAGTCGTCCAAGAGTCTGCAATCCTTCACCCCTTCACAGATAGGTGCCCAGTATGTGAATGTTAAAAAGACAGTTCCCATGTTAATTGCTAAAATGCCAACTAGGAAGAATGGCTTAGAAACATGATTAACTCTGTGACACTAATAGACTTTTCACATTCCTTATAAATCAGGTAAGTGATTTTAAGTATCTGCTCTAAGCCACATGTTAGTGAAGACTTGGAGACCTGCATGTGGCAAATGAGATCTAAACCACTTCCAACAAGGATGAGTAAAGCAGAGCTCCAATCTTGCCCTGAACTTTTATGCTTCAAGACAAGCCTTCCACATTCCCACTCATTGTATCCTTCTGGCATTGAAAATATTGCAAATGCCCACAGCAGAGGCACAGCATTCTTCCAAATTCTACAAATACCAGTAGAACAACAGCGTGTTCCTCCCAAGTAGAGAAGTACACTTAAAATGGTCAAGATGGTGATGGTGTGTTTTAATATATAAAACACACATCCACATCAGACTCCCTGTCTGTGCATGTCAATTATTCAAAGCCCTCAATAGCTCCAGCTTCTTAAGCTTGCAGAACAATGAAGCACTGCATTAAGCAATGAGGAGACTTATCATACAGCATACAGGGATTTCTCTATCTCATCAGACGCTAAGATGAAAAAGCTTTCAAAGCATCTGAAAAACAGCTGGGGACTTTGTAACACCACAGGAGATCAAAGGAGGCTTCAGAATTCAATGTGTTGCTTTGTAAGTGTCCCATTACCACTGACACCTGATGCTAAGATTTTTTGCCCTCTCTTCTATATGGATACACTTGCCAGTTATCAATTTCCTAGACAACAGAGGCACAGGGATACTGTAGATTGTGATCTCCTGCGGTAGAATTATAACTAAGTTTATAGTACAAGCAAAGTCCCACAACTTTAATCGATCATGAAGTGTTCAGAAGATTGATCCATGCAAGTGAAAGAGGGTAAATGAATGACTGCACGTCTGGCCCCATGGACCTTACTTTTACACCTGGACTTATAGGTGCAAAGAACTGTGAATAGTGCAGACTATGAAAAAGAGACAGACACCATTACCCTGTGTTTCTAATTATGCCTTAAAGCAGAAACAGAATAATTGTTTGCTCTGGCATACCTCCACCAGCCCTTTCTTAGGGATGACAAAGGATACAGTAAACCATATATTCCCACTAACTACTGTCTACTAAGGATTTCACAAGTGATTTACTTGAAGTCCAAGTTGTCTAACTAAGGTCATGTCAGAGAGGCTTGGCTGAGTGCTGTTCTTGGTAGACTATGGCCTTGATTTGACAGCCTTGGCTTTCAAAAAGCAAGCACAGAAACTTCATGAAATATAGCTTTGCTTGGCATTAATCAAGAAAGTCATACAAAGAACTGGGCTCCAATACATATATGGTGCACTAGCATAAGGATGCCCTATATAACTGGGAAGGGATGCATGTCTGGTCTTTCACTTTGACTAGCAGATGGAAAGAGTGGTTCCGCCGGAGAAGATCCAGAAGGCTGGGTAGAGGGCTTCTGTGAACTGTGCCCGGAACTTATAGAGGAGGATCATTTTCTCAGAGACACCAAAGAAAATAAGGAAGCCACCCTCATAATTCAAGAGGATACCAATCTTCTGCACCTTGGTGTTGGGCAGGCACTTTTCGATGTCATTGTGCCAGGCAGAGATCCGGGTATTGAACCACTCGATGCACCATGAGCTGTTATTGCGCCCTAGGCGGCTTTCAGCTCCTTGCCTGGGCATGGTCCCATAGCAGACGCCAATGGCACAGAAGTTGCTCTGCTCCATCTCTACTTCCCAGTAATGGATGCCCCTCTTGAAACACTGGAAGCCCAGCACTTGGGAGCAGTAGCTGAAACGCTGTGGGTGGTGGCTGTAATTCTGGGGGGTTTCTGATACAGACATTTTGGTGTTTTTCTCCGATAAGACCACTTTCTTATGGGCCGTGTTGAAATCCAGACAGAATTTTACAGCAACTGGGGGAAAAATAAGTTCACAGAAGAGAAGTCAGAAGACCAAACTGCTACACTTGGATATGACTACCTAAGGAAACAGGAGAATGGTAGCAGCACTCATTCTGGACAATATGAAATATACCCCAAATTCAGCTCCATGGATGATGACACTATTGTAGAGTTGAAAGGCAGATAAACTTATATGCTTCCTCCAAATCACACATAATTTCCTAAACCTCCATTGTGCCTCTTAAGCCCTATAAATAGTCATTTGGGAACTAAAAGCCCCAAATGGGAATTTCTCCAGCCCCCTAATCATTCTTCTTGGCAAGTTGCTGCTAGCTCTGATCCCACTGGAGCACAATTGAACACAACTGAACACAATTGAAATCTGAATGCATGTAAATATATACAGATGATTACCATAAGCACTGCTTATCTCCCCCCCCCCCCCATGTCAGAAGCTTCTTGAGAAACTGCAAGTTGTTTCTGGTGTGAGAGAATTGGCCGTCTGTAAGGACATTGCCCAGGGAATGCCCAGATTGTTACCATCCCGTGGGAGGCTTCTCTCACGTCCCCGCATGAGAAGCTGGAACTGACAGACAGGAGCTCATCCCGCTCCTTTGATTCAAACTGCCAACCTTTCAGTCAGCAGTAATGCCGGCACAAGGGTTTAACCCACTGAACCACCAGGGTTTCAATGCACTTACAACAAACCCAATTTGCCACTTTATTTCCTATTTGCCCATCTGGAGTGAATATTTTAAGACATCTTTGCTATTCCCTTTTGGTTTTAGTATCTTAGGAGGTTGGAAACACCAGCAAATCTGGTGACCTTGCCCCAACTTCAAACCATTTAGGAATAATAATAATAATAATAATACTTTATTTATACCCCGCTATCATCTCCCCAAGGGCCTCGGTGCGACTTACATGAGGCCGAGCCCACAATACAACAATACAAGCAATACAAGCAGTAACAAATACAATACAAAGCAATTAAAATAAATCTCATACACAAATAGCATAAGCATTGAACAAGGTACAGTGCACATTTAAAAACTATAAGTTACAAAGCACCAGTCCCAATGCAATTTCTCTGGCAGTGCCACTTTTTCAGTCTCACCACTATGAGAATTTAGCATTTATTCTTCCTGTGCTCCATGCACTTTTACCAATTACTAATCAGTAACAACTCCTACCTCCTTTTCCCATGGCTACTGTTCACTGAGTGGCCTTGGTGAGGGAGTTTGTCAAAAGCATGACAAAAGTCCAAACACACAACAATTACAGGTTGTCTACAATCCACATGATTGTTGACACTCTAAAATAGGGGCAGACAGACTGTAGCTGTCCAGGTATTGTTGGACTGCAATTCCCATCATTCCTTACCATTAAAGGTGATGGTGAAAAACAATCAAAACTGGAATCCAAAATCTGGAGGCTACATTGCTTGTTATTTGATATTTAATAATGTTATCTGGCAACATACCCAGAATAGACATTTAGCTAACTGCCTTGTAACGTCCTGGACTGTCTGAATCTTTCTAAAACTTTAGGGTTACGTGGATTTGCCTAACCCAAATCCAACTGAATATGGTAAAGTGTTGAGGCAAGTGGGATGGAGTGCTAGAAAACAGATCAGAGGGCTCTAATTCAGGTACTTACATTCCAAAAGTTCCTCTCTTGATTTATCTAAAAAGGTTTGAATGGTGGTTACCGACTGAGTCTCCAGCACTGTCCTGCTAGAACTCCGCGCTCTCTGGTTGGGACTTTGTGCTGTGGTTAATTAGGAAAGAAAACAGGTGGGAGAGAGATGTAACTGAGTCCTGATTTTGCAAAAAGACAGAGTACAAACAAAAATTGCAATGATACATTACATGTCAGATATTCTTGATTATTTAAAAAATGCAAACCATTTTGGGAACTTTATTATAAGATGGTGTATAAAGAAAATGACTACATCCCAGATCCAAATAGTGGCTTGGTCTGCCCATACCAGTATGCTGAATATGCATCTCTGACCCAGCTTTCCAAATGTCCACGCCTACTTCACTTGATCATTGTATGGCTCTAATGCTCCCTCTGCTGGTCCATCCATGTCAAAGCCGACACAAATACAGTCAAGCTACCCAATGTAGACATACATTCAGGGTAGTGGGGAAAGTGACTAAAGATCAGAACATTTCATGAGAGCCTAAAGCCATGGAGGAACTAACTCTTCCTCAAAGGATCAAATGAAGGAGTTACTTTTCTCTACACCAGACTATAGTTTCATCACTTCTGTTAGTCAAGTCCACTAACACCATTCACATTCTGGCAAATTTATTTCTTTTTTATAGAAGTCATGCTACCCCTTTATTCTGCCTTGGTCAGACCACACCTGGAATACTGTGTCCAATTCTGGGTGCCCCAATTGAAGGGAGATGTCGAGAAGCTGGAATGTGTCCAGAGGAGGGTGACTAAAATGATCAAGGATCTGAAGAACAAGCCCTATGAGGAGTGGCTTAAAAAGCCTGCAGAAGAGATGTTTGAGACGAGACATGATGAGGGCCATGTATAAATATGTGATAGGAAATCATAGGGAGGAGGGAGCAAGCTTGTTTTCTGCTGCCTTGGAGACTAGGATGCAGAGCAATGGCTTCAAACTACAGGAAAGAAGATTCCACCTGAACATTAGGAAGAACTTATGACTGTTAGAGCAGTGGAACTCTCTGCCCCGGAGTGTGGTGGAGGCTCCTCCTTTAGAGGCTTTTAAGCAGAGGGCGGATGGCCATCTGTCAAGGGTGCTTTGAATGCAATTTTCCTGCTACTTGGCAGAATGGGGTTGGACTGGATGGCCTACGAAGTCTCTTCTAACTCTATGATTCTATTATTTGATATGCATCAAAGATAGAGTTTTCCCTCAGATTTCATAACATGTCCCAATGGGAAGGAGGAAATGTCATTTTCATAGAATTAAACTTACTGCGCCTAGCGGGTCTTCTTCTTCCCTGTTCTGGGGGAAAAAAAGACAAGAAATAGTCTGTGATTTATTTCATGAGGAATAGAATGCAATATTTTTAAACGGAGTCCTCAGCATATGAAAAGAAAGAAGCAACAGTAATTAAAGGTGAAGAATGTACAGAAACATTTAACTAGCAAAGTGATTTTAGACAGTGGGAAGAAATGAAGCCAAATCATTACAACAGTAAAAAAAAATGCAGGGCGGGATCAGATGAGTAGCAGGCTCATAAGGGTGACCTCATATAAGGGAGTGATGTGGCCACAACCTTTGAGACTTCATGATCACACTGTAAACAGTAACTGGGTGTATGCAATATTTGCAGAGTAGGAGAAACAGAAGACCAAAGATATGAGGTCAAGTGCTCCGCCCCCTCCTGCTCCTCAGGAGAACTGGACAAATGGGAACTGGACAAACAGGGAGACAAAGAGTCATTTGATAGTGTGGTGGAATCTCCTTCTCTGGATGTCTTTTAAGCAGAGGTTGGATGTCCATCTGTCGGGAGTGCTTTGATTATGTTTTCCTGAATGGCAGGGTGTTGGACTGGATGATCCTTGGGGGGCTCTTCCAACTCTATGATTAGTATGTTTCTAAGACAAGCAGGGCAGAAATATAATTTTATATATTCCTATCCTGCTTGTCTTAGAAGCATATTCCTCTCTCTATATATATATGTGTGTGTGTGTGTGTGTGTGTGTGTGTGTGTGTGTGTGTATATATATATATATATATATGTATATATATGAGAGACCAAAGGTCAAGGTCCTCTTCCTTATTTTCTACCTGGATCACAGCAGAACTGGAAAATGGACAGAATTATAGCATATAGCAAGAGGGAGATTTCTCTCCAACTCCTTCCATTCTTTCCTTTTTGAGAGTGGAAAGAGAGAAGACTTCAATCTTACAATCAAGCACCCTAACCCTAGGAATCCTTGCACCTTCTTTTATATCTTAGCGGCTCCAATTCTTAGACAAACAAGAACAGAAATATGATTTATCATTCCGAACAGTCCTCAGCACTCACTGTTTTCAGCAGTAGAAGCAGCATTTGCCTCCTTGGAAGCCATGTCCACTGAAGGCTTCAATGGAACACTGTCTTGTTTTGGAGCATCTTTGAAAAAGACACACAGAGAAAAATACACACAGAAAAAGCAAACTCAGGAAGCAGGTCTGAACAAAGAGGCGAGTATGGAATAAAGTAACACAAAGAAATGGCTTTTTCTAAAGCACTGCAAGTTCAGATCATGCTTACACAGCAAATAAACAAGCGTCACTCCACACACTGTACAGCCAAAATCATCAATTCACTATCAAGGATGCTTCTTAAAGGAGATACTACAGGTTGAGTATCCCTTATCCAAAAATGCTTAGAACCAGAAGTGTTATTCATGTGTCATGAATGTTTTCAGAATTTGGAATACTTGCATCTAAATAATGAGATACCTTGAAGATGAGACCCAAGTCTAAATATGAAATTCAATTATATTTCATATACATGTTACTATACATATCCTGAAGATGGTTGTATACAGATACTTTTTAATAATTTTGTGCATGAAAAAAAGCTTAATACAACTAAGAAAGCAAAGGTATCTCGATCTTAGCCACTCATGTAGGTGAATCTGAAGTATTTTGGATTTCAGAATATCAGATAAGGGATGCTCAACTTTAAGTAACTGTTTCCCCTGACATTAAGTCTAGTTGTGTCTGACTCTGGGTAGTGGTGCTCATCTCCATTTCTAGGCCAAAGAGCTGACATTGTCCGTAGATGCCTCCAAGGTCATGTGGCCAGCATGACTGCATGGAGTGCCGTTACCTTCCCACAGAAGCAATACCTATTGCTCTACTCACATTTGCATGTTTTCAAACTGCTAGGTTTGCAGAAGCTGAGGCTAACAATGGGAGCTCACCCTGCTCCCTAGATGCGAACCACCAACCTTTCAGTCAGCAAGTTCAGCAGCTCAGTGATTTAACCTGCTGTGCCACCAGGCACAGCTTTTACTCAATTTTCACTAGTACTAAAATTATTAGTTGGTAAAGTTTCCAAGAGTTTTCCTGATGAATCGAAATGACATCTATATAATTCAGGGGTAGATCTGTGACCTACATGTGGAGATTTGTGGGTGAGCCTAATTTAGAATGGGAATATCAATTACACAAAGGCCATAATACTCCCTCAAAAAGTGCTGTATGTACCTGGAAAAAGTTGTTATTTGACCAAACCTACCCCCTACATTTTCAGGGTAAATATATGGTGCTTTTGTGGGCTACTGCATGCTGATTGGGACATGCCTTTCTCCAAAAGCACCACCACCCACAAAAACCCAAAAGGTGAGTAGATGTGATATACTCTCAATTCTGGTCTTGCAAATCATAGCTGCACCTGCAAGGCTGTAGTTTTCTACAACTGTAAATCGAACCATGCTTCTGAGTGTGCCCACTGGGAACTAGTCCATTTCATTCTGGTGCCAAGCAGGATCAAACAAGTGGCAGAAACAAGTTGCTCATTCGTGGTATGCCAAAATTAACATGTATTATTTGATCTCCGACTGATCTGCATGATGTAAGGCCAAATGCATAAAAAACTGTGTAGCAATAAAAGTGAGTAAGTCCCTCCTGTCCTCCCTGCAGAAACAGTTCCCCCGGCCTTCTCAGCTTGCTCCAGATCACAGGAGTGGGTTTCTAGGATGATCTGCTGTTATTTTAGGATGCTTTTAAAAAAATCTGCATGTAACTGCAGAGACATGCATTCTTCAAACATATGCCATCTTTCCTTCTATAATGTTCAGTTGTGTAACACCCAACTTTCCAAGATCAAATTTCAAGGGGAAAAACATGCTAAGTTTGTACCACATAAGTGTCAAACTCTAATGTCAAATACTTTAGACCTCTTCATCCCAACACAACACTGATTAGCATGAACTCTAAACACTATAATCTTGCAGCACATTTTGATTAAATATCAAAATCTGGACCTCCTACACTCTGAAAAAGTAATGGCGGAGGCATCACTTCCCATGGTATGCAGAGACTGTAGAAATGTTTCTGGTCAAATATAATTTTTAAGGTAAAGCACACTTTTGGGAAGCTATTTGGACAGGCATTCTTGGAATTCAGCCCCACACAGCCCAAGTCTGCAGTTCTCAATGAGGAGTAGTTAGTTAGTCCCTCCCCACCGCCCGCCCCCCCCCCCTCCTGAATGATACTTGGAGTGAATCTATTTCTTCTCTCCTCTCTGTTTCTGCTCTCATTCTGATTGGTTATGTAGAATGGATACTTAGCAGGTGCATGCCTTTTGTTTTTGACTTCTACTTTTTACATCTTGGTGTGTGCTGTGTATACTGAGAAAGACCTTGGAGATTTTTCCTTCTCTTTTTAAACCCCAAAGATGTAGTTTGAGTAGCTCAGACCTGGTTATTTACTATGAAGAAATGTAGTTATTCTTTTTGTAAATAAACCTTTTGTAATCATAAAGATTGAACTCTGCATGTTTGCTTCCTAAGCTCTAAATTCTTTATACCACAGCACTTCACACTGTGCTTGCTATGAGCTAAATGCCCAACCATAAGTATCCTGCTTTTGTATTTTTGGATGCTCTGCTGTTTTTGGGAGTTTTCCCTAACGGAAAATCCTAACAGGTATAACATGACAAAAGAAATCTGCATGGATACCAAAAGGAATTATGATTCTGTTTCAGCATCTTATCCATTAAACAGAGGTGGAGACATACCAAATCCACCTGAACAGATTTTACAGGAATCTAAAAAAAAAAACTTGCTGAGGTTATGCATTTTTTTGCTATAAAAAAGCAATTTTACAAGTCCTGTACCAAAGTGATTTGATACATTTTGTTAGTTTTGATCTGTGCATAATTTTCTACTATTAGCCAACAATGTGCTGCTGTCCCTAACTCATCTTTTATTTATTTATTTTGGACTTGATACTTTTTGAAGGCAAACTCCACATACAAATATGCTACTGTCACAAAAACAGGATTCAGGCCACACACTTCGCTTTTACTTACGTGGTCCTGGGTTCTTTTTTCCAGGCTTTGCCTGTGAGATCCCTGCAAGGAACATAAATAAACATCACCAGTATTATTACATGGGGGGTCCAAGAGCAATCAAAAGGATGACATGTGTACATTTGGTGGAGTCATACATGGATCTACAAATAACACGTAGTTTCTCCTTGACACCAAGTCTAGTTGAGTCCAACTCTGGGGGGTGGTGCTCATCTCCATTTCTAAGCCGAAGAGCCAGTGTTGTCTGTAGACACCTCCAAGGTCATGTGGCCAGCATTATTGCATGGAGCACCGTTACCTTCCCACCAGAGTAGTATCTATTGATCTACTCACATTTGCAAGTTTTCGAACTGCTAGGTTGGCAAAAGTTAGGGCTAACAGTGGGAGCTCACCCCGCTCCCCAGATTCAAACCACCGGCCTTTTGGTCAGCAAGTTCAGCAGCTCAAGAGAATAACCCGCTGCACCACCAGGGGCTTCAGTGATTAGTTGATAGAATACACTTAAAATTACACAACTGTTTGACAAACTACAGAAATACTGCATTTGGGAAGAATAGGTGGTGTGTTGCACGGGTCTTTGTTGTAAGCAAAGAAAGTGTTTTCCCCCAATAAATGAGGCCAACCACCTGCATAGCGTGCCTAGAATTATTTTGTTCACCCCTTTCAACTGAAACTAGGATGTGTACATAAAGTGATAAAATAAATAAGTAAAAGGCACATTTTCCATTCCATAAATAAATAAATAAATTACCTTCTTCAGGCTGAGTCAAATATTGTTTCACGTTTTCTTTCAAGCCAAAAGACTTTTGATAAACAGCATGTATCACCTTTTGGTCCAACTCTATTTTGGGGATAAATACGTCTTTGATCTGCATCGGCCGCAATTTTGTTGCTTTCTATGGAGGGGAAAAAAGCCTTCATGAGGTCTGGTTCTTTCTAGCTTGTCAGTGACAGAATGCCACTGTCCATCTGTAGTAACTTTAAGCACCAATTTTAAAAAGGACAGTGAGTGCCCAGCTTACCTATTAGCTAAGTGAAGGTCAACATTTTATACACATTTCCTTTGAATTAAGCCACAATTAATTAAGCATTATTTTAGAATTCAGCTAGACAAGTTGATTTATATACGATGTTTTTCCTACATTATATACATTAGAGCACAGAAAGAAACCATAAACACTTTTTTGTTGTAAACGGCCCTGAGTCCCTTTCAGGAGATACGGTGGGATAAAATAAATTATTATTATTACCCTCCTCTTCCTCCTCAATTGGTATGCTTGAAGCTGCCCTGTCTGTCTGTTGCAGCAGATTCTCTTACAAAGTGAGCCATTGTTGATAATATTTGGAGAAGGATGGACCAGAACTTAGGAAATTCAGCTTCTGTTTCCAGTGATGAGACATTAACAAATTACTGAATTGCACAAGTGTGTGTGTGAGTCTGACTTAACTCAAACAGTTGTTCTAAGGATAAGATGAAGAGGGTAATATACACTTCTTGGACCTTGCCAAATAAAAGAGAACGAATCTTTTATTCCAATACATTTCTATCTATGTGGATGTGATACACAGATGGCTATTTATTTGTATTGTGAAAGGCTTTCATGGCTGGAATCACTGGGTTGTAGGTTTTTTCAAGGCTATATGGCCATGTCTGATGTCTGATGTCAGATATGGCCATATAGCCTTGACATCAGACTGGCAACAAAGATCCGCCTAGTCAAAGCCATGGTATTCCCTGTAGTAACCTACGGATGTGAGAGCTGGACCATAGGGAAGGCTGAGCGAAGGAAGATAGATGCTTTTGAACCGTGATGTTGGAGGAAAGTTCTGAGAGTGCCTTGGACTGCGAAAAGATCCAACCAGTCCATACTTCAGGAAATAAAGCCTGACTGCTCATTGGAGGGAAGGATATTAGAGACAAAGTTGAAGTACTTTGGCCACATTATGAGGAGACAGGAAAGCCTAGAGAAGACAATTATGCTGGGGAAAGTGGAAGGAAAAAGGAAGAGGGGCCGACCAAGGGCAAGATGGATGGATGGCATCCTTGAAGTGACTGGACTGACCTTGAAGGAGCTGGGGGTGGTGACGGCCGACAGGCAGCTCTGGCGTGGGCTGGTCCATGAGGTCACGAAGAGTCGGAGACGACTGAACGAATGAACAACAACATATGGCCATGTTCTAGAGGCATTCTCTCCTGATGTTTCACCTGCATCTATGGCAAGCATCCTTGGAAGTTGTGAGGCTATTTTTCATTCATATGGAAGAGAATGTTGAAATGGTCTGACCTGACACACAAGGTATGTGGCATAGATATGGGGTAGGTGGTTGGTCTTGTGACATCCAATTCTTTTTTAAAAAAATTAATATATGCTACAGCCTGAGCCTCCCTCATCTAAAAATATGAAATCCAAAAAACGAAACCATTTGTCACTTGCCTTTGAGGCACCAACTACAGTGCTCTTGTTCATTAGTTTCTCAGATCCTCAGTCTCCCTCCAGCCTCATGTCTCACTCGTTCACTACTTGTGCTGTTTGTGAGTTTCGAAGCTGGAGAGCTTGAGGATCTGAAGACAAATGAGCAAAAGCACTGTAGCTGCTGCCTTGAAGTCAGAAGCAGGCACTGGCAGCAAAAAGTTTCTCACTGTTTCACAGATTGTCAGTCTCTCTCCAATATCACCTCTCAACACAAGTAGCAAACAAATGAGATGTGAGGCTAGAGCAGTGATTCCCAATCTGTGGGCCATGGACCACAAAAACTAAAAGATGGTCCACAGCCTACACCGTTGCAATGAGAGTGAATGGTCTCGCAAAACTCTCTTATAGTGCCAATGTTGGAGAGTCGTCCCTGGTCAAAAAAAAGTTGGGAACCACTGGGCTAGAAAGAGATGTAAAGATTCGCCAAATAGCAAGAGATATAGATATTCACGTTATGTATATATATGCAAACACAGGAATATAAAATATTAGAACACTTCTGGTCTCAAATATTTCAAATGAGGGATTCCCAGTTGTAGTGGGTTCAGTGGCCGATTGAGATACTCAGATTGTCTCAAGGGCTATTGAGACAGATGTGCAACATGAGGAGTACTTGGCCACTCAAACAGATAGGCAGTCTTCCCATAGAGCAGTTGCCACTGAACAATCCTAAACAATGGTTAGTGATTTTCCCAAGCAAAATTGGGTAGCATAGCTAGTAAATAACATAAATCCAAGGTTTACTGGGAATCCATTTCTGTATGCATCTAGCAAGAAGTGTGTAATTTTACAATGTGATCACATATGACAGATTTGGGGTGGGGGGGAGGAGGGTGTGAGAGAGAACATTAAAGATGAAATAGTCTCAAGAAGTAAGCTTTCCATTAGGTAGACAGCTGTTCAGAAGCAAATGATGCGATGCTGAACATTACCATTAAGAAAGAGATGTCATCTCCAGCTGACAAGGCCATTTCAATTTGGTCTCTCTCCCCTTGGATTTCATTTCTCTTCTTGCCAAGGACTTTATAGACAAAATCATATTTATCAAGGACTCTTTGCTTCTCTGCGAGGACTTTCTTCACAGACTCTTCTTCCTCTTCTTGAATGAAAGCTTTTATTTCCTGGAACTCGGACTTCAGCAAATCCAACTTCCGAGCGGCTGTATCCTGGAGACACACAAAAAAACCCAACCAAAACCCTGTATGAAAATCAAGTTCAGATAAAATGCCAGGGTGATTCCCCCATTTTATACTTTGATTTTATTTTTTAAAGGGAATAAAATCATCAAGTAGGAAGTTCAAGGTAAATACCAAGTAGAGCTTCTCAGACTAAGCAAACAATATTGTACAATACATATACACATACACTTTGGATGAAACAATGCATGCTGTGAGTCACTGCTTACTGATGTGAAAACTGAAATGCATCACCCTTCTCTACTTAAAATAGTTATAAGGTAAAGGTTTCCCCTGATGTTAAGTCAAGTCATGTCTGACTCTGGGGATTGGTACTCTTCTCTATTTCTAAGCCGAAAAGCTTGTACGTAGACACCTCCAAAGTTGGAGCACTTTTACCTTCCCGCTGGAGCGGTACCTGTTGATCTACTCACATTTGCATGTTTTCAAACTGCTAGGTTAGCAGAAGCTGGGGTTAACAGCCGGAGCTCACCCCGCTCCCTGGATTCAAGCTGCCATCCTTTTGGTCAGCAGGTTCAGCAGCTTGGCAGTTTAACCCACAGCACCACCAGGGGCCCCTAAAATAGTTGCATATATCCTATGTTATATTATATCCTATGTTATATCACAATATTTCAGGGTGGCATCGTATAAATAAAAACATAACCTACTCAGCCATTGATGCAGTGAACACCTGGATCTGGCTGGGAGTAGCAACTGGATTTAGACCAGAATAAACAGCAGTCAAACAGTTAAAAATAAAACAATACAATACAATTCAGCAGAATAGATAAAACCCAAAGTCAGCTGGCAGATGAAAAAGGCTAAGCCAAATTATAAGACGTCATTGCCTCTCTAGAGAAGGCATTCGACAAACAGGACACCCCAAATGAGAAAACCTCCCACTCCACACAAACATAGCAATCATGTTTGAGAAAGATGTCTCTTCCTTTCTTAAGATGTGAGGGGGTCACAAGGCTGTACAGGAATATGTTACAGAATAGTCTTTAGGCTACCAGGTCCTGGGCCTTTTAAATAACTCGTGGAAAAAAAATAACTAATTTTTCAGAAACATGAGAATGCAGAGCTGTCTCTTACACTGGTTTGTTTCTGCTGTGCTCGTACTTGATCCAAAGACTGTGAAGCCTTTTCATTCAGTGTATATAGTTCCGTCAATCGTTTTTTAAGTTGCGCCTATAAAAGAAGAAAAGGTTGGTACAGATCAGCCATTTCCATTATTGCGGGACTATCCCTTTCTTTGCCAATGCAAGTTCACAGAAAATGATATGCTTTATTTGGACATGGATTTCTGCCCAAGATTCTGGTTAAAAGGTCACATTTGCAGCTAGTGTTAATTCTTTAAAGGGTGGCAAACGTTTTACTTCTTGGTTTCAGGTAATATGTATATCCTGTCTCCTAAGCACAGCATAATAAAAAATGAAAACATGCAAATCAATTTAAAAATAAAATAAAATCGCCTTAATACATGTGGAAGTTCTGCATAGCTTTGCCCTTTTCCTGCCAGTTGTACATATATGCTCGGATATTGCCAGCTGGTTACATCCTACTGGTTCTTTTAGCTTTGTTCTGCAAGGCCACAATTCACTTCTGACTCCCTTAACATTATGTCCTCACCCTCCTAGCAGGCAGAACACAAACTTATAGAGTGGGATGGTTCTTCAAGAAGGATCTAATCCAGCTCTAGTTAACTCCTAACCATTTCTGAGCCTCATCTATACGGGTCAAATTGCTTCCAGCATGAATCCCCTTTGGTTAGATAAAGTGGGGTATAAATAAATATAATAACAACAACAGCTTTGTAAATCTGCTTGGATATAAAGTGCTTGGTTTCCAAGTTGGGCAACTTGTTTTGCTGTTGTTATGTGCCTTTCGACAGCAAGATCAAACCTGTCCATACTCCAGGAAATAATGCCCAGCTGGGAAGGATATTAGAGGCCAAGATGAAGTACTTTGGCCACATCAAGAGAAGACAGGAAAGCTTAGAGAAGACAATGATGCTGGGGAAAATGGAAGGAAAAAGGAAGAGGTGCTGACCAAGGGCAAGATGGATGGATGGTATCTTTGAAAGGACTAGCTTGACCTTTAAGGAGCTGGGGGTGGTGACAGCAGACAGAAAGAGTTGGAAGCAACTGAACAAATAAACAAAATGTGCTTTCAAGTTGATTGGCAATTCTAAGACAACCACAACATGGGGTGTTCTTGGCAATATTTTTTCAGAAAACGCTTGCCACTGTTTTTCTCCAAGTCTGTGTGGCCTGCCCAAGGTCACCAACTGGGCTTACATGGCCAAGCAAGGGTTCGAACTCTGGTCTTCCAGAATCCTAGTCCAACACTCATACCAAAACACTGTGCTGGCTCTTTTCATGGACGCAATTTGTCACCAATAGCTAACAATGAACTGAATGGGTTGATGTAAGTTTTCTGGGCTGTATGGCCATGTTCCAGAAGCATTTTCTCCTGACATTTCATCCACATCTATGGCAGGCATCCTCAGAACAAAACCTTACAACCTCAGAGGATGCCTGCCATAGGTGTGGGCGAAACATCAGGAGAGAATGCTTCTGGAACATGGCCATAGAGCCTGGGAAATTGACAGCAACGCCATGAATCCAGCTATGAAAAACTTCGACAGCACAATGATTTGATTGCTAGGCTGTAGGATACTAAGGAATGAAAGCCAATGTAGTAGAATGTTGTTTGCAAGATCTTTAGCTTTCTCTGCCAAAGGATGGCTCACCAAACTACAAATCCCAAGATTCAACAGCACTGAGCCCTGGAAGTGGTGTCAACTGCAATAATTCCACAGTGAAGATGCGCCCTAGGCCTCTGGAAACTACTTAACCATATTGCAAACCATGGGAGAACTTGGATCAATCATATTCTCTCAATCTCTGAGAAAGCCAATGGCAAAGCTTTTCTGAACAAATCCTGCCAACAAAAATCTTCAATAGGGTGGTTATACGCTGCAAATGATATAAAGGCACACAACAACTACACACAAGGATACCAAGGACCAGCCCCAAGACATACTGCTCTGTGGGGCAAAAGACAAGATAAGCAACCCTAGCCACCTTGAGTGGCTGTATCAGGAGAAAGACAAGATAACAATACAGCAAATGAAAATTGAAGAAAAAAAATACTTGTTCACCCCATAAAAATCTAATACAATTGTGCAATCTGGGCCTGCAGTTCTTGCAACATGTCTAAGTGGGGCCTTTCACAAAATCTGGGGTGCATCGCTGATTCCCAAACTCTAGTCCTCCAGGTGTTTTGGACTCCCAGAAGCCTCAACAGCTCTGACCAATGATCAGGGAATCCAGGAACTGATGTTCAAAAGACCTGAAGAACGAGTTTAGGAAAGACCGAATTAACACACATTGACACCCCTTGAACTGCCCTGGCTCGAGGCTATGGAAACCTGGGAATTGCAGCTTCCCAAGGCCTTTAGCCCTCTCTGTCAAGAGTGCTGGGGCCTCAACAATCTAGGATTCGACAACATTGAGCCATCAAAGTTCAAGTAGGGTTACACTACATTCGTTCTACAGTGTAGGCCAAACTTTGCCCCTCCAAAATCAGACATGGGCAAATTTCAGCCTTTTGGACTTCAGAACACACTACATTCATTCTACAGTGTAGGCCAAACTTTGCTCCTCCAAAATCAGGCATGGGCAAATTTCAGCCCACGGGTGTTTTGGACTTCAGAAATTCCACCCAGTTTATCAGTTGTTAGGAATTATAAGAGTTGGAAGTCCAAAACACCTGGAGGGTTGAAGTCCACCCATGCCTGCTCCAGGTGTTTGTGACTTCAACTCCCAGCATTTAAACTAGAATAAAGTTTCAGAATGCAGTTTAACTGCATTGAACTGGATTATGTTATTCTACACTGCCATAGAACCCAGTTCAATGCAGTCAATGTGCATTCTGAAACTGGATTTTATGACAGTGTAGACTAGGCACGGGCAAACTTGGGCCGTCCAGGTGTTTTGGACTTCAACTCCCACAATTCCTAGCAGCCTCAGGCCCTTTCCTTTTCCCCCTCAGCCGCTTACGGCTGAGGGGGAAAAGGAAAGGGCCTGAGGCTGCTATGAATTGTGGGAGTTGAAGTCCAAAACACCTGGAGGGCCCAAGTGTGCCCATACCTGTGATAGCTTCTTCATCTCCAAGCTTTGCTGCATGAGGCCACCGCCTCACCTCCTTCTCCTCCTTGGCCTGGGCCAAGGGGACGGTGTCGCAGGCCTTGTGGGTGACCAAGCAGAAGCAGCAGATGCACCTGCCGTGGTCCTGGCAGTGGAACTCGAGGAGCTTGCCGTGGTCGGGGCACTTCCTGCTGTGGAGGTCCCTCACAGGGGGCACCAGGTGGTGGCCCTTGAAGGCCGGGCTCTCCAGGTGAGGCCGCAGGTGCTCCTGGCAGAAGGAGGCCATGCAGCTGAGGCAAGTCTGGGCTGCTTGGGCCCCAAGGCAGCTGTCGCAAGGCACAGGACTCTCCTGGGGGGGCTTCTTCTCCACCGTTTTGGGGCCTGGGTCTTCCTTGCGGGGCTCCTTTTCGAATTGCTCCACCACTCGGCACAGCACCGTGTTCTTCCTCAACTCAGGGCGGCTGTGGAAGTGGGTCCTGCATTGGGGGCAGCTGAAGCCCTCGCCTGAGGCCTTCCCAGGGCCCCAGGTCATTTCCAAGCAGGGCAGGCAGAAGTTGTGCCCGCAGGGGGTGGTCACTGGGCTCTCGAAGAGGCAGAGGCAGATGGAGCAGGTCAGCTCCTCTTCCAGGCCGAAGAGGACCGGCAGCGACGGCGCCCTGGCCACCTCAGCCATGGCTGGAAGCAGAGTGAAGCGAAAGCAAGCCGAGGAGGCTCTTAAGCACTGCCAGCGGAGAAGCGAAACTCAGGAGGAACCACTTATTGGAAGTCACGTGACACGGAGAAGCCCAGCCAGAATACACACACACAGCATAAGCAACACCCTCCCCTCTCTCTCGGTTTAGTGACCCATGGAAAGAGAAACGCCCGCTCTTTCTCTTTCTCTTTCCCCCGCCCTCCTTTCCATTTAGGGCTGGGGAGTCAACGCACTTCGACACCACTTTAATAGCTCAAGGCTATGGCGTGCTAGTGTGTGTGTATATATATATCACATCGCTATATAGCTATATATCTTATATGTATATAAATGCTCTGTGCATAATGAGTACCTTAAAAACAAAAGAACCAATGAACGAAATCACACCAAATTTGGCAACGAAACGTCTCACTACACAAAGAGTGACCATCACTCAAAAAATGACGATTTTGTCATTTGGGAGTTGTAGTTGCTGGGATTTATAGTTCACCCATAATCAAAGAGCATTCTGAACTCCACTAGATGGAATTGAACCAAACTTGGCACACAGGACTCCCATGACCAACAGAAAACACTAGAAGGGTTTGGTGGGCATTGACCTTGAGTTTGGGAGTTGTAGTTCACCTACATCTAGAGAGCACTGTGGACTCAAACAATGATGGATCTGGACCAAACTTGGCACGAATACTCAATATGCCCAAATATAAACACAGATGGAGTTTGGGGGAAATAGACCTTGACATTTGGGAGTTGTAGTTACTGGGATTTATAGTTCACCTACAATCAGGGAGCATTCTGAACCCCACTAACGATGGAATTGGGCCAAGCATCCCACACATAACCCCCATGACCAAAAGAAAATTCTGTGTTTTCTAGTGGTGTTTGGTGACCTTTCCCCCAGGGTCTTGACTTCCCAGGTTGAGAAATGCTGCCTTAAGGCCATCCAGTCCAACTCCCTTCACCAGGGCAAGAAAACATAATCAAATCCCTCCTGACAAAGGGCCATCCAGCCATTCACACACACACACACATACACATGTGTATGACAGATGCAGTATCAAAGATTTGAAAGGGACCCCTAAAGAAGGACAATAATATGTTGCATGTCCCAGAGTAGGCAAACCAGACACTCTCCACATCAACACTGGCAAAGAAACAGCAAGAAATACTGTTTACCCACAAGCATAAAGACATTATATATTAGAAACCAACACTTTCTCATTACTTTATTTTCCAGATCAACAGACTGGGCCACAGCAACGTGTAGCAGGGAACTGCTAGTTATATATATATATATATATATATATATATATATATACATACACACACACACACATACATACATACATACACACACATATATATATTATTAATATATATATAAAATGTATAACAAAATATATATGACACCATATATATAATATGTATAGTGATATATATATATGGAGCCCCCCCCCCCCCCGGGGTGGCGCAGTGGGTTAAACACTGAGCTGCTGAGCTTGTTGACCGAAAGATCACAGGTTCGAGTCCAGGGAGCGGTGTGAGTTCCCACTGTCAGCCCCAACTTCTGCCAACCTAGCAGTTCAAAAACATGCAAATGTGAGTAGATCAATAGGTACCGCTCTGGTGGGAAGGTAATGGCGCTCCATGCAGTCATGCTAGCCACATCACCTTGGAGGTGTCTATGGACAATGCCAGCTCTTCGGCTTAGAAATGGAGATGAGCACCAACCCCGAGTCAGACACAATTGGACTTAATGTCAGGGGAAAACCTTAACTTGTGTGTGTATAGGTAAAGGTAAAGGTTTTATATATTTATATATTTATTTATTTTTATTTAAAAGTTTTATATACCGACCTTCTCACCTCTCTTGAGGGACTCAGACCGGTTTCCAACCATAATATCACATACAGTCAATAAAACATCATAATTCATATTACAATAAAACATTAAAACAGCAATTACATTCAATAACTACAATGGTCAGTCGTCACACTAAAATCGTTGTTCATCATCCTCCATCCGTATCTCAGGGTGTTGGCTCACTCGTCGAATGCCTGTCTCCATAACCACGTCTTTACCTGTTTCCTGAATGTCAGGATAGAAGGGGCGGTTCTGATCTCCAGTGGGAGAGAGTTCCAGAGTCAAGGGGCCACTAGCACGCCATGGCCTTGAGCTATTAAAATGGTGTGATGTATGCATATATATATATATATACACACACACACACACACACACACATACATAAATACATACATCGACACCATTTTATATAGAAGAGAGAGAGAATGCTAGATATCCCAGAATATCAAGGCTTCACCCCCCCCCCCCCAGTTTCATTCACGAGAAGGCATTACTGGTACATTATTTAAACTGTTATGTTTATTCATATCATGATCTGATCACCATACTCAATATATCATATTCATGGGGGTATTGGGGTAATGATACAAAAGGTTTGCTAGTCAGCCCCCCCCCCCGAATCAAAATCCTGGCTACAGGCCTGATGTGAGATTTTATTCAGCTCTGTGGAAGGGGCTCTAGTTGTAGTTTTAAGGCGTCTTTAGGACCCCTTCCACACTTAAATAAAATCCCACATCATCTGCTTTGAACTGGATTATATGGCAGCATGGACTCGGGTAACCCAGTTTAAAGCAGACACTGTGGGAGTTTCTGCCTTGGTATCCTAGAATATAGGGCTGTGTGGGAAGGCCCTAAATGATCTGAGTCCACACTGCCATATATTCCAGTTCAAAGCAGAAAGTGTGGGATTTTATTCAGCTGTGTTCGAAGGGGCCCCATAGTGTTCACTGGCTGCTGATTAATTGCCGGGTTCAATTCAAGGTGCAGGTTATGAACTATAAAGCCCTATACAGTTCGGGCCCTGCCTATCTCCGCTATCGCATCTCTCACTATGAACCAGTGCGAGATGATCAAGGGGGGGGGGGGGTCCTCTCACTCCAACCACCGTCTCAAGCGTGGTTGGTGTGGACGAGGGAGAGGGTTTCTGAGTGGTGGCCTTCCGCCTCTGGAACACCTTCTCCAAAGAATTAAGACAGGCCCCATCACTCCTCTTTTCATAGGGATTTGAAGACCTGGTGGATTCATCAGGACTTTAAATATTAGCTTTGGTCCAAAGTCCCCCGGCTATCAGTTAGGGCCCAGCCATCACCTTACCTGTTCCCCGCTCCTCTTCCTCCTTTTCATGGTATCAGACCTGGCCCAGACCTTTATTGAAAACTGCCAGGAGGCCCTGGAAATAAGTAGCCCCAGGTCCATCCTGGCCATTAATTAGGTCCACTTCCTCCACTTTATTTATTCTCCGGCCTATATCACTACTACATATATCATGAGCCCCGACCAGTTCCTTCAAATTGTTTAGCCCATGTACAGGTAGGGCCATTGGTAACTCAATGCACAATGGAACAATGTGGAATTGGCTGTTAGTGCATAGGATTGTGTTTTGTTTTTGTTTTTTGGTCGTGTCAGGAGCAACTGTCAGGAGGATTGTGCTTATAGGTTACGTTTATATTTTAATGGCTACTCTGTATGTTTTATGTTTTTGTGGAAATTGCCCTGAGTCCCTTAGGGCAGATAGAGAAGTATATAAAGTTGTTGTTGTTATTATTATTAAGCTAGGGCAGTTCATACGGTGCCAAACTGCATCCATTCAGCAGTGGAGGCGCACTCATAGTGTTGCTGTCCCCTGAGGCTGAGAGAATGTGACTTGTCCAAGATCTCTGAATTGGTTTCCCATTCTCCAGAGGCATTGGGACTATCTTCCCTGGGCCCTTCCAGACAGCCACACAACTCAGAATATCAAGGCAGAAAATCCCAAAATATCTGCTTTGAACCGAGTTATCTGAGTCCACACTGCCATATATCCCAGTTCAAACCAGATAATGTGTGATTTTATTCATCATGGTGAACTCTAGCTGTCCATTAAAAAGACATCCCCACTGTCCAGCAAAACACAGTGGATTTTCTGATACCACACCCAAGCCATACTATTCAATGACAAAGAGCCAGGACTCTTTGTAGATACAGTATATTTAGCTGGATGTTTACAATCCTTGGCATTGCAAAGAGTATTATGACTATGAAAAAGTGAGTCAGGCCACTGAATTTAAGCATATCTTCCTTCCTCTTAGGAAACAAAGCTAAATTTAGCCAAGTATTTACAGTGTTGTCCAACTGAATAGGCAATCAGTATAGCTTTCGACCAGGATTCTTGAGACCAAGATTCAGAACAACCAATCAGCCATGGAAACCATGGGTGATCTTGGGCAAGTCACGCTCTCTCAGCCTCAAAGGAAGGCAAAGGCAAACTACTCTCTGTATAAATCTTGCCATTGATAGGGTTACTGTAGTGTTAGCATAAGTCCGAAATAACTTGAAGATATATTACAGACTATAACTGATCATTAGCCTTCCCATAGTTTATTATATACATGCTTTTTAAAACCATGATTCATTTTTTTATTTTATTGTGCTTTTTAATGATTATATATGGCATTGAATGTTTGCCTTTGTATTGGAAGCTGCCCTGAACGTCCTTGCAGACAGCTAATTCTCTCACACCAGGAGTCACTCCTGACACGAAAAAAAAAATGCTTCACATTATAGCCACTGCTGCTAGTTTGTTTTTATATTGCAAAAGCTACGCAGAAGGAACAGCATCTCATCCAAATTTAACTCAATCTTATGTTTGTTATTTGGAAGTCCAGAGTTGGGTTTCCAGATGAGAGTATAGTGAACTCTCCATAGTTTTTGAGGAGACATCCTGATCAAGGCTTAAAAAGCAGGATATCCCACTTTTCATGAAATTTACATAATGTAATCAGCTTACAGAAGTCTAAAAATAGAACAAGGAATATATATAAAAATCATATATATTACAAAATATTGTGACAGCATTGTTATTTTAGTTTATATTGCTTTAAGGTACTTCTAAATATTCAGTTTACAGCAAAAAAAATATAAAGTCAAACATCTTTCTTTTTCATCAGATATAGTGAATGCTAAAACATGCATTTCTATAACTTAAAATAATAGATGTTTAAATCAAACACTCTTTTCCTTTGGCTAGTGTTAATTCTACAAGATTTCACATAATTTTAGCTACTATTGGCATTCGTTGGAAAGTCTATCATTTGAATTAGTGCCACCTAATTCTTAACATATATGGCTTATTTCCAGTCCTCAAAAGCATTCTGCTCCCCAAATACACAAGAATACACAAGCTATCTACACCCAAGAACCTCATGCTCAAGTGCCCAAGAACCTCATGCTGCTTCCAATATATTAATTTCCTTTTGCACTCCCTCTCAAAATGGTATTAGGAATTGATGTCTTGTAACTATTGTCACCCTGCTTGAGTCTGACTGCAGAATTATTATATCTGAAATATAAAGATTGGCCAACATATTTATTTTTTTTAAAAAAAGGGCATTATTGACTCCAGCTCCCAATCAATTTTCCACCTTTTTTCAGGATTTCTGTGCTGCCCGCCTTTGACTCCTGGTTCATGTAACAACGCACTGCATTACTTCTGTGACATAGTTGCCACAGGTCTGCTGTCCCACATAGTAGTAAGAACATAAGCAAGAGCTAGGTTGAATAGGCTACCTCGTTGTTTTACATGCCAATAGCTAATGTGGTGGAATGGTAGTGCTGTGAAAAGTATAGCCCAGTGTCCACAGTGAATCATCACTTGCACATCTTAATGCAAGAGTGGCCCATAAATGCAATAAGTTTGAATAAACCGCAAGACATGATATGAACCCAAGTTTCACAGCCAGGAGCAGAAGCATCCTAATCTTGCCAAAGGTAACAACAGTGTAACACCTGCATGGTCGAAGAAGTTCAACTAAAAATGCTCATCAAAATGATCACATCAGAGCTCTTAGGCCAAACCAATAAGGCAATCTTTCAATAACCAATCTTGTTAGTTTACTGAATTCCTAACCAATAATGATACATCTCTCACAATGGGGGAAAAACAGTAACATTGTTTGGTTAGCTAGTTATATGATTGTTATTATGCATTTGTATACATGCTTACTGAGAAATAACTCCTACTTGAGATGTACTTCCAGAAAAGTATGAAGAGGTATAGATGAATACAATATCATCTAAGGAGTTTTTTTGAAAAAATATTAGATATTGGTATATTTTTAGGCTTCTTTCATTTTTTTTTATAAATCCTTTATTTTTTAAAAAATGTACAGAAGTAAAGAACTTTACAAACTATTTACACACGGGACCTGTGGGTTCACACACTGGAGGGATTTCAGTGCTTGATTCATTATTAGGAGAATCAACTATTAATCGTGGCTCGATCAGGACATCCCAATTTTGAGTTATCTGAAAGAGAAAAGGTATATGATTCAACATGGATGCAAGGACACTGTATCACTAGTATTAAAAGTCTTTAAAGTCAAAACAAAATCAGTTAATTAAAACATATATATGCAAGAAAGAAGAGTACTGTGCAATATCAATCTCTGATAAAAAGGATTGGAGGCCAAACTTTCCATCCCAGTTTTAATATGTAACTTAAGAAAACAAAAGCTAAAGTATACACCATGTCTGCCCTTCAATAGCACATTAAAATACATTACAGTTCAACCAGAATTTTGTATATACACAACATAAAACTCTATATTCTTAGGTATTTCTGGCAACTAGATTACCAACTCGAATTTCTATTTAATACTGGTTTGAACATTGGGCTACAACTCTGGAGAACAGGGTTCAAATTCTCACTTAGCCATAACACCCACTGGGTGGTCTTGGGAAAACACTCTTCTCAACCTCAGAGGAAGCCAAAGACAAGCCTTCTCCAAATCTTGCCAAGAAACCCCTTTGATAAAGTCGCCATGAGGCTGAAACAACTTGAAGGTACACAACAAGGAGTCTGAACCATACAGCCCAAAGATCCTCAGCCTGCTTATTTTGCAGTTCTCTATAGCCATTTTCTGCTCTCTCCACCTTAATAAGCTGGGGAGTGATTAACAATCTGTACTTTCCTCTTCTGCTAATAACTGCAGGGGAAAGCCCTCTATATAAAAGACCAATGAGAGACTGGACAGTTCAGACTTCTCTTTCTTCGTAAGAATTGCTGTGTCCCAGTTCATAGTGATCTGAAACTCCTGTACTGCATTTGATCCTATTTGCTTCTAATTTATCTGCTTTAAAAAACTGAGCCTAAAGTGGTCTGGTAGTGTGTGTGCCAAACCGCCTCCCCCAATCTCCTAGAAGGTATTTAGAAGCAATTTTTAATAATATTATGTTGAAAAATTAAACCGTGGGCCACAAAAGCATGTTTTCCATATTACCCAACCCCATTCTACCTGCAGGCATTACAAGTGAGATTGGATTGCCTTCTGATCACCATAGGTAAGGTGATCAGCTTAGAATGATTTTATTCTCTAAGAGATTGGAATCTACTTCCATGAAATGAGGCTTCCCAAATCTCCCAGCTAGGATTTATTGCTAAAAGATGTAACATTGTTATAAACTCTGTTCTTCAAAGCGATTTCAAGGAAGTGCTAACATACCTTTCTACCTGGAGAGACTGCATATTCTATGGTTTCATCTCCATCTGCAGACTGGTAAACCAAATCAAACTTTCCTGGTACTTTGGCCACTAGAAAGCACAAAAGAAAATACAAAAAAGAAAATTGTTTGGGGTGCAGTATTTATAATCCTCAGGAGTCACCAACAGTTCTACATAAATAACTTTCACATAAATAATAATAATAATAATAATAATCTTTATTTATATCCCGACACCATCTCCCCAACGGGAACTCAGGGCAGCTTACATAAGGCCAAGCCCAGACAACCTATTACAGCAAATTAAAACCAAAAACATAAGCAACAAGCAAGAACATCATGATTACATAAAAACATATGAATACATTAACAATATAACATTACAATAAACACAATCACAGAATAAAGACAGAATATTAAAATAGGAATACCAACATTAGAAGCCTATCCTTCTTCAAAAGAGTTCAATATATTTTCATGTTCATCTGTGAAATGGTAGAATACTCACCTGATGAAAAAGAAAGAAGTTCCAGTTCTAACTCTTTGTCAATAGGGTTCCAGCTGACAATTTTCCCTTCCTTACAAAAGAGAACAACAACATTAAATTTGGTAGGTCAAGCATAATTTGATTATTTTATCTAAGTCTTTTTACCAAAAAAAGTTATGTTATTATAAAGCAATATAAATGGATTGTAATCACAAGTTAATTCTCAAAGCGAAAACTACAAGGTGGTCAAGAAATAGCCTTTAGGATAAAAGGAGCAAGAATATTGAGCTTGATTCTGAATGGCAAAGTGAAGAGACAGGAAGCCTTCTAGTGGTATTCCCTGAACGTGTCTTTTCCTTCTTCCTTATAGATTAAATTAATGCTACTTTGTGGTGGGCACAAATATTGTCCTTATACATTTTGCTACAGTGAGGCAAATCCAGCTGTACCAGCACTCAAAAATTGTTCTTGCAAAGAGAGTTCTGGAAAGTTTTACTACAACCTTACTCAGGTTTCCAGTTGATAGCCACCTTTAGAATAGAACCATAGCATTCGAAGAAACCACATAAGCCATCAAGTCCAACCCCCTGCCATGCAGGAGAAGCACAATCAAAGCACCCCCAGCAGGTGGCCACCCAGCCTTTAAGGAATTAACATATTAAAATACTAATATATAATCAGTAGGTAAATGACTAAAATTTCAGCAGCAATACCTTGTAATTGGATACTTCTGGACTGTAATTTTCAGTTAGCTCCAACAGCTGATGAAAAAAAAAGCAAATGTTAAGCATCAGACATGCTTACCATCTACACCAGTGGTTTCCAATCTTTGGTGTTCAGGACTTCAGCTACACAATTCCTAACAGCTGATAAGCTGGCTGGGATTTCTGGGAGTTGAAGTCCAAATTACCTGGAGGACCAAAGGCTGGGAATCACTGATCTACACTGATGACACAGTTTAGCTTTCACTCCATTCTCTCATATAAAAATTAACAGATCAGCAAATTAATGACTTTGATATGCAGTTTCTCAGGGAGGTCTCCAGAGCCTACAAAAGTGAGACTTGGGAGACTACATGCAGCCAATGGGTGCACCCCTTCTTGCCTGAAATCATGGACACTGAACTACAGGCTCTTTGCAACAGCATCTCTCACAACTTCTCATCCTTACTTATATGGGAAACAGAATACAATGACAACTGGAAAACTATCCAACCCAAAAGTATATACTCTTGCGTTGGATGGTCCAGAAAACATAACTTGGAAAAGGGAACTAATATAAACCCGGAGCAGAAAGAAGGAAATAAAACTCTCACACATATGTAGATCAATTATTCCAAAGGAAAGAAAGGGCAAATCTCAGCTGATCTACACACTGACATTAGAAGAGATTAGGATCAGACCTACATCTAAGAAACGTTTCCGATCCAACCTCAGCCTAGCATATCATGATAATGGTACCTAAACGCCTGCCTGAAACCCAGACAATACTGAAAAAATATATAGTCAGGAATATTGTGCTAAGAGAACAACTCATTTAACTTCCTAAGGCACTACTGTTGGTAATGTTAGTACAGGGTGCAGCAGCATAACTTCCTTTTTTCAAAACTTAATAAAACCCATTGTATGAATCAGATTTTTTTTATAATGTAGGTGCATACCTAAAGTTTTGTTTTACGTAGTTTTGAAGATCAAATTAGGTAGGTGACGTCCCCATTCTCCATACACTGAGTAAACCGATTTCTGGCGTTTGTCATGACTCTTGCCAGCATAGCAGGCGTTATGTTGGCAATTTCTTCCTGGATGTTGGTCTTCAAATCTTGTAGGGTCCTTGGACAGTTCACATAAACACGGGATTTCAAAAAACCCCATAGAAAAAAATCACAAGGGGCCAAATCTGGAGAGCGGGCCGGCCACTCCAAATCCGCTCGAAAAGTAGGCCTCAATGGCAAAAGCACGCTCCTCACTGTTCCAACGCATGATGGCGACTGAACTGTGTCAGGACAAAACTTTATACTCCCGCCTCTTGAACGAGACCACTAGTGCTCCGCTACGTCTTCAACCGACTGAATAGCGCCCATTTAAAAAAAGGAAGTTATGCTGCTGCACCCTGTATTTACTTGGATACATATGTACATATGAAACCAAGAATATCAACTTTGAGCCATCAGTTTACTTATTTATAAGCATCGTATATGTGTGATAGTCTGACGACTTACTGAAAGAACTAATCAAATCCAAGTGTGTATTGCTTTAGTATTTCCCGCCAATCTAAATAATGCTAATATAGTGTCTTATTCCATAGTTTGACACCAGTGACATTCTTGCTAATGCAATTAGTGCTTCCTGCACTGCTACAGTAGCACAACTGGCAACATGGTTTAAGTGCTTTTTTTAATAATAAAATTTATACCTTAAAAGCAATTTTCTCGCCTACTTGTGGAGGGGCAGCTAACAGAGGTAGTTTGCTATAGTCCTTCTTTGGAACCTCCACGGGATTCTGTGAAACAATGGAACAATGGTTAAAAGCCTTTATCACAACTAACTCAATAAAAAGTATTAATGCTACATAAAATACAAAACCTATATTCTGTTATTAGTCCTGACTAATAACTCAGTTAATTGCATTTGCCTAGGTGCTTGTTCACTATGGAATCTTTGATTGGATAAGTCTACTCTAGCTGGCACTAACCAACAGGATGTCAAACAATATATGGCCAAAAAACACACAAAAAAACAACCCTGCAGTTTGAATGCAGTTACATCCTTTTCCATGTTCAGATGAGTTTCATTCATGTTACTATTCCATTTTATTGTAGAACTAGCTGTCCCCTGCTACACGTTGCTGTGGCCCAGTTTGTGTATATGTGTTGTGTCTTTGTGTATATTTGTGTATATGTGTGTGTGTGTGTGTATATATATATGGTTTTGCGCATGAGTGTGTGTGTGTGTTGTGTGTGTGTATATATATATATATATATATATATATATATATATATATGGTTTTGCGCATGAGTTGTAATTATTATTATTATTATTTTGCTTTTTAAGTTTCTCCTGCTGTATTTTTATGAGTGATGGTCACTTGTTGGCCTGATAGGTGTATTGTGTCCAAATTTGGTGTCAATTCATCCAGTGGTTTTTGAGTTATGTTAACCCCACAAACGGACATTGTATTTTTATTTATACAGATAATCCCAAAAAAACAGAATAGAACACGATAAAATCATACTATCCATACTGAACAATTAAAACAGTAAAAGCAAACATAATTTTAAAAAGCACTTATAGAACATAGCAACTCCTGATCATTGACCAAAATAAAATATATATAACATAGCAACTCAGATTCAGTCCAAAGCCTGCCTGAACAGTTAGGTCGTCAACTGGCATTGAAAATATATAAAACCTGGCATTAGCAATATCTCCTGGAGTCATGGAACCTGGAAAGATTGGATGCAAATAATATGGGGTGCTGTTCCTACAACTGCATTTATTGTTGTTTTGTATCAGCTTGTTTCTAATTTTTTGAGCCATCTCAATCTAACTATATTCTTCTAACACCAGATCAATCGCGCATCTAACACCAGATCAATCACTGCACCCCCGGTGTCTCAGTGGGTTAAACCCCTGTGCCGGCAGGACTGAAGACTGACAGGCCGCAGGTTCAAATCTGGGGAGAGGCAGATGAGCTCCCTCTATTAGCTCCAGCTCCTTATGCGGGGACATGAGAGACGCCTCCCACAAGGATGATAAAAAATCAAAAATCACCCGGGCATCCCCTGGGCAACGTCCTTGCAGACGGCCAATTCTCTCACACCAGAAACAACTTGCAGTTTCTCAGGTCGCTCCTGACACGACAAAAAAATATATATATATCACGCATCTTGGGAAACAGTTGCAATTGGACTCACCTTGATAATGACTGAAGAGTTTGTTGCTGATTCATTTAACTGTTGCTCTTTTTGGTGTTCATTTGTATTATTACAGAATGCGTTCAAGTTTTCTCCTCTCCCCCTGCCTCGGCCCCGGACTATCCCTCGACATCCCCGAACCCTAGGTCCTCTCCAAAAAGGGTTCTCTCCTCTTCCACGGCCCCTTTGATTGTTACTGGAACCTGTACCTAGTCCACAAGCAGCAGGTAGCACTTGCTGGCTGCCATTTCCTCCTAAAGACCGGTTGACAACAGCATTCACATTGGGCTTTTTAATAATACAGGTCTTTGATTCTGAACTATCAGACCCAGAAGAGGAAGTTGTTTTTGTCTTTGAAGTTAAGTCACTACCAGTTCTTTGATTATTATACGAACGTTTGTCTTTTAGGTTCCTACTTTGCTGATTTTCCTCTTCCTCTGAGGTTGAATCGGATTCTGAGCTAGAAGACTGGTTCTTGGCCTTCTTACTTTTAGCTGCCTCAAGAGAATTTCTTTCTTTATGCTTAGCACTAAGCTTACCAGGAGAAACAGATGTTACAGGAGATGCTAGCTGTGATTTGTTTGTGTGCTGTGATGCCACCTTAGTTGTAAATGGATGTTTCTGTTTGGTGCCTGCTGTACTATCATCAATGTCTGATGATGAAGTGGAAGAATTGCTAGAAGATCCATTGTTCTTGGAGTCAGATCGTACTTTTATGTTGTTTGCTGTGTTCTTTGGACCGGGGCTCAAAGGGAAAGTCTTTTTGTTCTTTTGTAAGGTTTTATTTGCTTCAAACGTACTTGCTTTTCTCTTCTTTTTGTGTGCTTCTATCTCCCGAGGTCTCTCTCTGTGACCTCCCTTTTTACTCTTCTTGAAATAAGTATTGTCATCCCTCTTACATTCTAATTCAGCCCCTGATGACTTGCTTTTCTTACGTGATACAGAGTCCATATTTGAAACATCCTCTTCCTGGCTGGAGGAATGTTTATACTGCTGTTTGCTCCTCTTCCTTTTTCTGTGCTCGTCATATTCACTTTCAGAATCATATGCTTCTAACTTTTGCCTGTGTCGTTTTCTCTGTTTTTTTGAAATGTTATTGAAACCGTTGGTGATTCGATCACAGCTGTCTTCTCCGATTACTGCTTCCAATTTGACTCTGTTGAATTCAACATAAAAGTGAAAATACTAACAGTGTTGGATCATTATTGTACAGAAACCAAATTCCAACCAACCCTTGATTCTACAAAGTCTGAAGCAAAGAAATCCTAGTGATCTTGGCAGAAGTATCTCCTTGCAACTTAAGGGCTTACAATACATAAGTTCTTAAGTCCTCAGTTATTACAGGGCAGTTTATTATCTCAACTACCTCGTATATGCAGATTTTATCGTTCAGCCTTAAAGAGTTAATGGACACTGCAAAAAAGAAATAACCTAATTTTATGCATATATCCCCAACTCTACATTAATGTGGTGCGTGTACTTAACCTTGAATCAGTGTGGCAATTGTGCTCTGACTTAAGTACACTTGAAACAGCTTTGAGTCCCCCTAGGGGTGAGAAAATCAGTATATAAATACTGTAAATAAAATAAATAAATAAACTTAGTCCCAAGGAGTCCAATTCGTATGCAGAGTTGGGCATAGCACAAATAACTTGCTGAAAAGGATACCTAGCTCTATGTAGGATCAAGCTGCAAACAAACAATGATGCTCCTAGAAAAATTATATGCCTGCTGTGAACCAGGGGACCCAAATGAGTAGAGAAAAAGCAACCAAGCCTATCACTATGTCTTTGATATGATGTTATTTTTCGTCATGTGGAGACAAACCAAGTTGCTTACTGGTGACTTTATACCAAGTAACTGTTGACAAAGGAAGGGAATTGTTGGTCCTCCATACTTATTGGCTTACAATCCCCATCAGTCCTAGCCAATATAGGTACAGAATTATGGGAGCTGTTGTTCCACTGTGAAAGCCAGTGTGGTTTAGCAGTGTGAGCATTGGGCTACGGCTCTGTGAGACCAAAGCTTGATTCCCCACCTGGCCTTAGAAACTCTATGGGTGATCTCTGACAACTCACACTCTTTCAGTCTCAGAAAAAAACTTGCAATAAAAACCTTTTATAGGCCCACAATAAATCAGAAATGACTTGAAGACATGCAACATTAACAGCTCCCCCTTCCAAATTTTTAAATCTCAATGGATTATTATTTTTTATTTGCCCAAGCTTTTGAGATTTTAGTTTAATGTTGTTTTGCAGTCTTATCTATTTATATTCTCCGTGTGTTTTGTATCATACTGCGTCTTGCTTTCTATTGGCATTTTATCCACGTAATTTGTTTGGCAATTGTACAGTTTTGTGATTTATTGTTCCAGGTATATATTCAACCATCATGGGCAAGTTTTGGCCCTCCAGCTGATTTAGACTTCAATTCCCATGGTAAACTGGCAGGGGTTTCTGGGAGTTGAAGTCCAAAACGCCTGGAGGGCCAAAATTTGCCACACAGCCATATAACCAAGAATATTGTGGCAAATATCCAACAATATCTGCTTTGGACTGGATTATCTGAGTCCACACTGCCATATACTCCAGTTCAGAGCAGAAAATGTGGGATTTTATTCAGCGGTGTGGAATGGTCCTGAATCCACACTGCCAGGTAATACAGTTCAATGTGGATTTTATATAGCTGAGTTGAAGGGGCCTTATGACTGTGCACAGATACACTGTAGGACTCGTTGCTTTCACTTGTTTTATTGCAAGGCGTAATGTGTCTCTGACAGCGTTATACAAATAAGGAGCAATCCTCATCATCTGTAAGCTGAGCACCACTACCTGCCTCTTGTTGTTGCAGTTGTGTGCCTTCAAGTCCTTTCTCACTTGTGGAGACCAGTCTGTTGGTGCATTTACACTGTGGAATGAATGCAGTCTGGCCTCTCTTTAACTGCATGGGCTCAATGCTGTGGAGTCCTGGGATGTGTAGTTTGGCGAGGCACCAGCCGTCTTAGGCAGCGTGGGCTAAAGACCTTGCAAAACTACAATTTTAATCATTCCATAGCATTCAGCCATGGGCAACTACAGTGGAGTCAAAGTGCATTAATTCTACCCCAGCGTTAAGTCTTATCTAGACACTGAATTGGGAATGACATGACCCCCTCCCCCCCCCCCCCCCATGTTGTGGAACTGCGTGGGACGCTGGACTTGGAAGGCAATTCCCTGAGGGAAAGCGGCATCCCTTCTGGGGCGGGGCGGGCGTGCTGCCCGGGTCCCTACCGGAGGGAGTCGTTGTCCCGCACGAGGCGCGCGCTCTCGGTGGGCGGCAGGAGCGCCCCGTCCAGGAAGAGGCTGAGCTTGGCGCGGCGGCTGAAACCGAACTTGTCCCGGATGAGGCTGATGAGGTCGGTGACGAGGCGCACTTGGCTAGGCTCCAGCAGGAGCCAGCACAGACCGCAGGCCGGGCTCCCCGGGGGTGGGTAGTCGAACAGCAGCCGCAGCCGCACCGGCGCCTCGCAGGCCGCCGCCATCTTGGGGAGCGAAAGGAGCGCTTCTCTACGGCGCGCCGCGAGGGTCAAAAGAAGAGAAAGCGTGCGAGACCGAAGAAGGGAAACCAGCCTCTTGCCCGCCAGCGCCCTCTTGCGACAGCGGCGCTGAATCCCTCCACTGGAGAGGGGGGGAAAAAAAAGTAATATCAATAGAAGTATTGCTGTGCCTCTAAATCCTTTGTCGATGTTATGGGTCATAGGTTTTCATTGGCAAGGAAGATTCAAGGTCCTTCCACACAGCCATATAACCCAGAATATCAGGGCCAATATCTGCTTTGCACTGGGTTATCTGAGTCCACACTGCCATATATCCCTCTTCAAAGCAGAACATATTGGATTCCAGACAGGCCTTAAATCCCAGGATCTGATCCCACATTTTGTGCTTTAAACTGGATTGTATGTTGCCATGCTGCCAGATAGTCTGGGGGCTCTTACACACAGGCCTATATCCCAGAATATCAAGGCAGAAAATCCCACATTATCTGCGTGCAGACTTGGATAACCAAGTTCAAAGCAGATATTGTGGGATTTTCTGCCTTGATATTCTGGGATATAGGGCGGTGGAAGGGCCCTCAGGCCCCATCTACATTGCCATATAAAATGCCATAATGAACTGGATTATATGGCAGTGTAGACTAATAATAATTTTATTTATTTATTTACAGTATTTACATTAATAATAATGTAATAATAATACTTTATTTATAGAACTTTTGGCAGTGGTAGGCTCAATTGTCCAACTGTTCCAGATGGCTTGGACAGCCTGGCTTTCATTTGCTAAGCTGACTACATTCTTAGTACTTTTGTTCACTATTGGCTATGTTTCTGAAGTTCCAGGAATCATTAGTGAAAGTAGAACACCCATTTATGCCCCGAGTCCTAGGGCATAAAACAAGGAATAAATAAAAATAGAACAATGTAGTAATGTGACTGCAGAATAGGTAAAGAAGTAGTAAAGCAAAACAGCAATTCTCAATGAACTTAAATCACTACACAGCTTTCATTCAATATAGCAATTGCTGTACCAATATGATTAATAACAGTACTAATTGGACTACGAAACCAACCAACTATTTCATTAGGACATCTTCTGCCAGAGGGGACGCCACTACTACTAATCCCAATCCTTATTGTTATTGAAACAATCAGCCTATTTATCCGACCGCTGGCACTTGGAGTACGACTAACTGCTAATATTACAGCAGGACATCTTCTTATTCAACTGATCTCTACTGCTACATTTGTTTTACTACCAGTAATAACGACAACAGCAACAATTGCATTTATTATTTTACTTCTATTAACAGGATTAGAAATTGCAGTAGCCCTAATCCAAGCCTATGTATTTGTTTTACTTTTAAGCCTATATTTACAAGAAAATGTCTAATGACCCACCAAGCACATTCATATCACATAGTAGATC